GTCCTGCCCTCATCGTGGTTCCAGCTGCCAATCTTGCAGCCGCTTCTGACAGTCCTGCCCTTATCGTCAACGCCAGCTCTGTTCCAGCCGCCAATCTTGCAGCTGCTTTTGACAGTCCTGGTCTTACTGTCAACGCCAGCTTTGATACGCCTGCACGTTCTACCTCCACTGGACTCGCCGCCACGGGAGCCGATCCCGCTACTCGTTCCACAGCTGCCGCCAGTTTTGGCCTCACTGGGACGAGATCCCGTCTAGCCCACATGCTGTTCCACGTGCTGAAGAAGACCTGCTCCGAAGGCGCTGCACAAGGCATGACCAAGGAATTGGGAAAGGAGCAGAACCGCATCAATGAGCTACACGACGACCTGTTACGTGAAGTTAATTCAAGTTTCGTTAATCTTCAGGGGCAGCTCCAAGAACATTCTGCGCATCTGCAGGATCAGCGCAGTGGACTGATGTCAGATCTGGATGACCTGGTCACCTCAGAGCGGAACAGACAAGTAGACGCCATCCAAGGCCAGTACCGGCAACACCGGGCGCATCTCCAGGAGCTGTTTCAGCCCATCACGCCGCTCCTGAACCAGCTGGTTGAAAACGGTGAGCGTCAGATGACCAGCCTCCAGACTCAGCTGACATCAAGCGAGCAGCGTCTAAGTAGTCGGATGGACGATATTCAAAATCAGGAAGATGAGCAGTCGTCAGTTTTCAGGAGCCTTGTGACATCCAGTCAGAGCCTTAATGAACTCTTAGAAGATCTGCAAGCACAGCAGCAGCAAATGACAGCGGTTCAACGTCACCAAGAGCAAGAGATGTCCTCCTTGAAGGACCTGCTGACATCCACGGCGGCCAACACTGAGAAGCAGTTGAAGGATCTGCAGAACCATCTGAGCTCCGTTCAGAACATGCTAAGAAGCCCCGCCCGACAAGCCTGTCCGGACGGCTGGATCCGACACAGCGACGGCTGCTACATCATCTCTTCCAGTAGGGCATCCTGGACATCTGCCAAGCGACTCTGCTCGTCAATGGACAGTCGTTCGCAGCTGGCGTCAGTTCACAGGGAGAACGACGACCTCGTCACATCCCTGGCTTCGTCGGCCGGGGAGTCTGTCTGGATCGGACTCACCAGAAGAAGCTCATCCAGAAGCACAACTCGGTGGGCCTGGGTGGACGGCTCCCCGCTTGACTTTACCAATTGGGCTTCCGGAGAGCCCAACAACGGTCGTGGTTTCTGGAGCCGCGATAGTGGCAACGAGAACTGTGTTTTGTTGCGGAGTTCGGGTGTTTGGAACGACGAGGGATGCGCCGAGGTGAAAAGATTCATGTGTCAAATCACGCTGAAATAGCGGGATTTATTGCAGCAGTCAAATCTGACGAACTTCCTGCCAGCGCTTTGTTTTCCTCGCAATCTATTTACGCTTTGGGTTGCTCCGTCTGGCGCTTTCATGTGATGATTCATGTCGCAAATAAAATCATTGTTCGAACGATACGCAAGTACAGCTCATGTGTAAGCGCAACGTTGACGTTGAGGACACGTAACAGTGATATTTAGGTAGTGACATGAATGCATTGCTTGTCCGCTTTAGCAATCGCTACGAAGTAGACTTGGGATGATCATTGATCATACCCATGTACGGGGAGTTTCTGCTTGATGTTTTAAGATATAAACAAAACATTATGATATAATGTTCAATAATAAAAAGCTATGTATGCATGCCTATTGTCTATGCTAGTTATGTCCTGCGAATACAAGGTGCCATAATTCGTTCATCGTATTTCACTCGCCCACAAAAGGTTATGCAGTTATGCATGGTACAGTCGTGTACAGGTTGATGGTCCCCTACTCTTTATCCACCGGGTTCCTATGGCTCAGCATTGGCAGCAGCCGCCTGGTACCGGTAGGCTGTGCCGTATGACCCGAGAGTGAAGCGGCACAGTCTACCCACGCCGTTTGACATCGGCTCGGGTCGCCGGGTGGAGCGCTTTGTAGACCAGCTGTCGCGTCAGACCAGCGCGGGGGGAGGGGCTCGTCTCGGTGGTTGGCGTGGGCTGGCGAGTGGTGTGGGGCGTGTTGGTGGGCCATGGGGGCTGGTCGGGTGTGTGTGGTCACTTCCTGCATTGCACATTTTGCGTCGCTTAACAATTGCATTCCTGTTTTTGCTAAGCACAATGCACGGAAGACCCAGCGAATATAATTTGCTTGCGCATTGTGCAAAACGTGATTTGGCACGGTATCGAGGCAACCATAGGTCTTGTGCCACATACATGCATGATCACCTGTCCGTGCTTCTATCCTCAGGATACAGAAATCCTTCTCCTCCACGCCACCACCCCCTGCCGGGCTGGACAGGCAACTTTATCTCATGCGGGCTGCTCCCTTGGAGCGGCACCGCTGCTCCCGAGGGAGCGCACCCCGTAGCCGGGTGCAGTGAGTGCCTTGGGGCTGGGTGGCCTGTCTTCGGACGGGCTCAGCCCCGGCGACTCACTAGGGTGCCTGCCCAGACCAATGTCTCCCCCTAATTCCTATCATCCTTCCGGCTCTGCAATGGTCTTGTCGACCGAAAGGGCCTAACCCAACAAAAAAAAAAAAAACATGCATGATATTTAGGCAATACGCTTATGAAAATGGTAGATTGATCGGATTGATCCTGGATGTCAATTCGTATGCTAAATGTCGACATGTATTAAATGAACGAATGAATGAATGAATCAATCAATCGACAATCGACATGTAGATATAAAACCGTATAAAGGGCTCGCAACCACTAAAATCAAACCAGACCCTAACTCGGAAAAGTAGCCGGAGCCCCGATGAGGCTCGAACCGGGACTCCACGTTGAACGTTTTACCAATGATCCATCATCATTCCACCAAGCTAGAGCGACCGGCACCCTAAACCACAAAAACACTCATTGACTTTGCTGCCGACCTCCCGGCCCCGCCGCCCGTCCGGCCAGACTTTGCCCCGCCTATGGCCACCATCCGGTGTAGCTCAGCGTAGGAGCGCTAGGCTGTCAAACTGACCGGTAGTGAGAGGCCCGGTTCGAGACGCTTCGCGTGCTGGATGTTTATTTCTGTGTCCGAGGCTATGCGATTAGTCCACTTTTCAGAAAGATTATTTGGTGACAGGTCTGTTTTCTTTCTTTGCTGCAATTCATGAGGAGACCGTATGGACCCTTACCTGTCCTTCCGCACCCCACTTGGGAGATGGGTGTTTGAACCCCCCAGGGTTTTGTGAATATCTCTAAAGCGAATTTTTGGAGGGTGGATTACGATCGGTTCTGTGCGACAAGTGACCACACACACCCAGCCCCAGGTCCGCTCACTCACTCCCCACATCACCCCCGCCCCACACCACACTCCAGCCCGCCTCATCCACCGAGCCGAGCCAAATAGACAGGCCTGACCCTTACCCCCCCCCCCCCCAGCCGGTGTAACGCAGCGTGCGGTCAAATCGCTCTACCAGGCGACCCGAGCCGGTGTCATACAGCGTGGGCAGGCTGTGCCGCTTCACTCTCGGGTCATGCGGCACAGCCTACCGGTACCAGGCGGCTGCTGCCAATGCTGAACCATAGGAACCCGGTGGATAAAGAGTAGGGGACCATCGACCTGTACACGACTGTACCTACACATTGCAATTATATGAATATACGCTCTGTAGTTGTTCCACGTAAAATCATCTATGGCCAATACACTGTGCGCCTAGCTGCACCAACGTTATACAGTTAGCATTACCAGTGGCCCGGTGAGTGCTGACCACACCTTACAGTACACAGCGGCATGGTCGTTAGTCGTTACGGTTCCAGCGCAATATCCAAGTCGGCTCCTCAAAGCGAAATCCATCCTGTCGCTTGGCATCCATGCACACATACAAATATATTATGTATGTCCTGGCGCGGTGACCCAAGCTTGAAACTTGCCAGAACTAACCAGTTTCTGCATGCTTTATTTTCCTCGTTTGTCAAAGAGAGGTGATACGATCCCTAGACATGCCTTTTGCATTCCTGAGCTAAAGCGAAAATCGGCGACCATATACTAGTAGGTATAATTATGCAGCTCGTTACGAGTAGAAGCATAAGTGACCAGTGATGTAATTTGTAAGCCATTTCTATCGGTCGATGCAATTTCTCAGAAGATGAAACACATGACACAATTCATGTTTTTGTATATCAAGGCGGCCTTGGACGTTGCGTTGGACAGGTTACCCCCCCCCCGCAACAAAAATTCCAGAAAACTCTGCATTACGATTCCTCATGTGCTAGTTGCTACTATGCGGTTTAAACTTTCAAGCACTAAAAAGTTGCTGAATTTTCTTTCATTCGTAGAAAAAACGGTAAATTAAATCGATGTCGGGGGCCGCGGGGTAGGGGGCCTTTCCCCAAATACCTCCCCCTTTGGATTCACTAGTGCAGCGGATTGCTAAGAGTGCACTGACGCCTATTCATGCGCCATATCTGAGGACTAAGGAGACATTCAAAAGTTCCCAGTGCTTCCTTATAAGTGACGAAATGGTTATTAGAGGAATAGCTACCTACTTAGCTGGGATGATTTCAGCTTGCTGTCATACATGTTCAATGGTGGTGTCATTTTCAGAAAATGTAAGTCAAATGTTCGTCCAATATCCGGATAGTTTCGTCGACTGTCCGTCCAAAAATGTCCAAGCCAGCCATTTGTCTAAAAGTGCCCGAAAACTACGCAATTATTTGTTAATATTTGTTTTCCAAACACACTTAAATTCGTTATTCAATTTGCTTTTAACGCACTATTACCAGCCCAAAAATGGTTATCATATCAAGATCTTAGTTTTATAGTAGGTACATATATTCGTCTTCAATGCAATAAACGATTACATTATAAAAAGGCTGAGGTGTGGTAAGTGACTGTCCAATCTTGTCCAAAGCCTCTGTCCGACCAAATTCCGAATTGGAGATTGAACAAAATTGTAATTCCGAAGGTCCGAATTCCGACTGGCACCACTAACAGCCAAGCACGCGAAGTGTCGCAGTGCGCGCCGCTCCACCGACGCGTGGTGCACCGGCGCGCCGTCGCTGCGTTTGGGGCAGACCGCAGCGGGGGCCGGTCACGCCCGGTCCTGGCACCGGGGCACTCTCAAAGCACACACACACACCTGAGGCGTGCTACTCACCTTAGAGCGGTCACCTGTGACCTTAGAAGGCCTGCCGAACCATGGCAGGACTGCGACTCTGCCGGGTGTCCGTTCTCGTCTGGCTGACGCTACAGGTCGCCGACAGAGGCCTCGCGCAGATGGCTGCCGATTCGAGACTTCAGCCATTTTACGAGGAGCCCAGGACCTTCTGGCCAGACGGACTCAGCCACAGCTTCCAGAACACAGATCAGTGTGAGTATTGTGACACCGTGCTACTGAAACGACGCGCTGAAACCGAAGTATGGGCTGACCTCCATGATCTTTTGTTAGTCCATCAGTTTATATGCCAGACGGATTTTGTTGGGGGAAGGCGTAGTGGGAGGCATTTTCTTGGTTACGTTTACGATGCATTACAGTGTCGTGGTATTTTTGATTTAGACCATAATTTTGTCGAAAATTGAAATTAAGATCATAAAGTCGAGTGTGAGACAAAGTTAAACGAATCCCATACCTAACTCAAACAATGTAAGACGTAAGTTATATACCTACACAATAAATAGTTCGTTATTCGGAAAGGCAAAACTTCACCTGTGCCTTGGATGCTATCATTATTTTTCATATGAAGTCGCGGGCCCGGGGGGCGTTTTTCGCCCCCCCCCCTGGCGAATATTTGCGATAGCTCCCGAACGCTTAGGGATAGGAAAGCAAAACTTTCAGTACCTTTTCCCCATCAATTTGACATCTTTTGCGGTAAAAAATTTGGACCTAGCCCCCTTGATGACGTCATAAGGTCCATTTTTCTAGACCCCTGCACGGCAAACTTCGGCGTCACAGACGCAAACTTCAAATAGCTGCTAAAAATAGAGTTTTAGAGATAAAGACAAATTACGAGCACGGTTCTGTAGCGTTTGACCTAGAGAAAAATAGAAAAATAGTTTTGGTGACCTGAGGTCAGAGGTCAGGTCAGCGACCCCGAAATGTGGTTTTAGTTTTTCGCAAATAACTTCGACAAAAATGGTCCTAGAGCTACGGCAGTGGTACCATCGCATTCGCCTTGTCAAGCCGCGTCGAATGATATATATTTTGTTCGGAAAAGGTCAAGTTTTATGTTGACCTCATGTGACCTCGAATGACCTCTGGTTGACCTTGACACATGAAAGGTCGTTTATGATGGATTTGTACCCGCTGATCACGAATCTGGCATCTATTTTCCTCTAAGCCTTCATTTAGAGCTTCCGGATGGCAAAATTGTCTTATTTATTATTACTAACTTGAATTAGTGAAATAGCCTCTAGCAGGGATACTCTTCTGTGACCTTGACCTTTGAGCAGCCTTGTATCGTAAGAGGAACCACAAATAGGGAGCTGATAAGCCTCAAAACATTTCAAAACATCTTGAAAGTTAGCACTCAAGATGTGCGAAAAAGTGCCAAGTTTGAGGTCAATTTTGAGCGTGACCTTGACCTTGACCTTTGATTTTGAGCACATTTTCGGTATCCTCAGATTCTCTTCTTTCGTTTGACACCCAATTTTGCCGGTTTGATGCCGCCTGCCGTCCTCTAGAAGGCTTACTTTGAGATCACTACACATGTGCCGGTTTTTGCCTTTGACCTTGACCTCTGACCTTGAAAATTGACCTGAGGTCAAAAATTTTAGGCGCTTTAGAATTGTCTCGTAAGGACCTTTCGTTTGGTATCGCTTTTGTTTCCGTAGCTCCCTTATTTACGGAGTAAGACAGGGGGCGAAAAACGCCCCCCCCCCGGGCTGCGGTGGTTGGCATTACCCCTCGGGCCCGGCCGGGTTAAGTTGCACACTGAACAGCCCCTATGGCATAGTCACAAAGGCAAAAATCTATTAGGAAGAAATGGAAGGATGCTTTTTTACTACTGCTTTTATCGTTTCATTTTTTATCATTTGAAACTCCAAGATCACATTTTAATAAACTGGCTTACCCGTGGTATCTTGTGCAAGGAAATTAATTAAAATCTTAAAAATACGCGCAATAGCAATGCTCGGATGAATTTCATTTTTTCAAAATTGGCAAAAATTGACGCATCGCTGAGGTAATTTTAGACTATCCTGATACATTTTTACACTGTATGGAGTGAGGGGTATGGAATGGATTGTACCTAATAATAACAAGTCTATAGTGACTCAGCTGCTATTTGTAGAGAAAAAATGAAAGGAATGAGACTTTTTCTTCCAAACAGGCGCGGACACCATAAATCATTATTCCATGTGTTTAAGAATAATTGTGTTGTCATAAACGATATTTTCCCGCCATTTTGTATTTCTATCATTCCATTATATGTCACTCCAACCGTTTCCAGCTTCTGCACCGCAGCCGTCTGAGTATTGTCTCACCGCCAGGTTTGTGTCTGGCCATGTGTCAGGCGCGGCCCAACTGTCTTGGAGTGGCCTACAATGTCGCCGGCGGCGACTGTCACCTCTCGGCCCGGCCTCCTATGTACAACAACACCAAACCCTCGGACCAGCCCTGGCTGTTCACACACCGCGCAGGCCAAGGTAGGGAGGATCGCCAGATTCTTGCCTAGCTTCTCTCCAATCACGGTAATGTCAGCGGCCATCGCATTCTGTGGACAGGTCTGCGCGGATATCACAGACGTATTACTTTTCTCCACGATGTTTGTTTGTATGTTTGTTTGTTTGGTGTTAAGGGACCAAATGGCAGCAAGCTGGGAGTTTTAAGCTGTTAAACCTAGTTGAGTTACACATGGATCTGCCCGTAAACGTACCATGTGTAGAGAGCCGAAATGGGATTCACTAAGGTCGTCGGATATTCATTGCGACAACTGTCTTCGCATGCTAATTCATTGGTTGTTACCTTTCGCGCGCCGTCAGCGCACAGGAATAGACACTGCATCATAAGTGTAGGGCAAACAAATTTGAGCTTCGTATATGGGCGGTCTTACATTTTCTTACGCTTTCATCACAAAAGAAAAAGTGCATCAATTACGGCTATGCATTTGGTGGGCCCGTCAAAACGCATTTGCCCGACTCAACGTGCCGAAGTTTGGAGAGCTACCTAATTGCAAACTAACAAAATTTGGAGAACCCGAAGTATTCTCATGTCATGGGTAACTGATAAAATGTCGATGCTGTTGATAACAGTCGTAAGCCTGTGAATATGCATGGAAGCCTTTGGACCTACGAGTATATCTGCTATGTGGATGGAGGAGTAACGAGACTACATACCTAGCCACTATCGACTATCCAGGCCAGGCTTTTTTACATATAGGAGTAGGTATGCAATCCTGCACGGCTGCAAAATTAGCATCTTCAAGTGAACGTAAGTGAGCGTACGAGTGTGTCACGATTTGTTTTTCAAACCAATCTACCGAGGTGCCTTAATGGAAGTGCTCAGCGAGTTTTAAAAACGCTTTCTTTGGACATTTGGCGCTATATTCCAGAACCAAACGCATGTAGGCATATGTTAATGGCCATCGACGGGGTAATAAAATGTCTGCGGTCCATTGAACATGAGGCACTACCAGCGCATTCGACTATTATACGAGCAGACCGCAAAGAGGTTTTACCCTGTCTGCTGCGGCGCAAATAAAAGCATCGGTAGTTGTTAACTATGTATGTAGCCTAAAATGCATTTGACACGTTCACTATTCTGTCTTTATTGCTAAAGAACTCTCTGTCTAACATTGCTTTTATTGCTGATGAAATACGTTCTTCTTGAACTACTTGGTTGCAGTTTCAAGTAGAGGTAATATTTGGAAGTGGCTGACTCAGGAAACTTAGGTATGCGATCCGAGCCATTGGGCACCACTCTGTTTGTATACGCTAGTTTGCTGCCTGGATTGCATGTGTTTTAGGAAGCATTGCCCAGTCAGGATCCTTGTAGGTCGGTAAGCACTGAGCCTCTTAGTCGATTACTCATAAGTCGCAGTTGATTACCTCATGCCGTCATCACGAAAGATTTGCGGACTGAGTGCCGCTGACCTTCAAAGGGTCACGGATGGTAGGCGGCGTCAAATATAGGCTGACTGTGATTGGCCAGTCCTCCAAGCTAATGCTGCCGCTGTAGGAGTTTTTATCAGGGAATAAATTTTATAGTTTAGCTGCTTTTCTCGGCGTCTGACCGGCCGCCTGCCCTCTCAGGGATGCCCGGAGACAAGTGCACGACGGTGGACGACTGTTCCGCCATGGTGGGGCCGGCGGTATGCCAAGACGGCGTCTGCGCCTGCGCCGAGAACATGCGGACCCTGCTCAATGCCTGCCTGCTGCCTACAACCGGGGTGCCCTTCACGGGGCAAGTGTCGGCCATCCCGGACCGCAGCTCGCTGCTCGGCTCTGTTACGGCAAACTCTGCGGAGCAGTGTCCCTCGCGCTGCAGGTGGAGGCCCAACTGTCTACTAGTCCGTGCTGTCGACGACGGTGCAGGAGGTGTGCTCTGCGAGCTCTTCTCGCGGGTCCAGGCCAGTTCCTCGATGAATGCAGCTGACGTTGACAGCGGAGTGCAGGCGATCAAGTTTCCTCGCCCCGCCGGATCACCTCCCGAGCACTACGTCGAAGGTCCTGCTGGATACTTCGCTCTGAAGAACACGACCCTTCTCACCGCGCCTGACGCACACCGAGCCTGTGCTGAGGAGGGCGGCATCCTCTACCCGGCGGAGTCTCGCGAACACATCCTCTCCGTTGTGCGGGATCTGATGTCCGTCCAATCACCTCACCTCGCGGGGGGCACGGCGCAATACCAGCGTCGCGGGGTCTTTGTCGGCCTCGATGACACGCTCACCTTCACCAGCCAGCGGTCGACGTTCGTCTCGAGTCGCAGTGGCACCGTCACTGAGCTGCACTGGTCACCCGGTGAGCCCAACTCGGACCAGTCATCCTGCGTTTACGTCAACATTGACAGCGACTACCATCTCAACGACATAGCGTGCGGCGCGCAGCTCTTCTCCATGTGCCAGTTTGTCGGTCGGGACGAGGCGGTCGGCCGCAGCTGGGAGCGGGACGCTGCCGGGATGACGCTGCACCTGGGCAGCGTGTTCCAGCTGCACTCGGTGAGGTACGAGGGCGGGCAGACGAGGCAGGCCGAGGTGCGCGTCACGGTGTCGCTGCCGGACGGCGGCGAGATGCCGTGCGCGACAGCCGCCGCCGAGCTGGCGGCGCCGCTGCACTTCAGCCGCCAGCTGGTCTGTCAGCCGGCCGTGTTCGCCAGCAGCGTTCACCTGAGGTTCGAGGGCAATCAGGTGGTGACCGGTCACCCGTCCGTGTTCGCCACGTGGCTGTACGACCCGTGATCGGTGTGTACGACCCGGGGCAGGTGTTGTACGACCAGTATCGAGACTGCACGACCTGTGACCGGTGTCGTAAAGTACGACCAATGAGTGGCACTGTACTTCAAACTAGTGGTCAATAACCACCGTTTGCAGCTCTGATTTCCCCAGAGACCGGACGACCGCTTGCTTTTGGGTGCCGTGCCCTTGATTTAGCGATAAAAGCTACCTACATATTTTCTGTGCTGTGCGTTTAGTTCTCTGTAAACGTTTCAGATAGTCATCAAACAGCAATGTGTTATGCTAGCAATATGTTTGTTTAAAGTTATCTTGCTTTGGTACCTATACCATTGATATTGAGAGCAGATACTGTGTTATCAAGATGCGTTTTAATAAATTTGAATCAAAAACTTTGTTAGTGAAAATATGAAAAGCTACAAAAAACGTTTACAAATCGTACAAGCCATATGAGTTTTCAAAGGCACGTGATATAAGCCTATATGCGTATGTTTTCTAGCATTCTGATTTGCATGGTGAATGTCGTAGGAAAACTAATTATATATGCATATGCAGCGCGACGTACAGTCACCAGCACTTGCTACTAATCACCTCGTTTTTGTTAAGTAGTTTGAAGACCGATCAATTGTCAGTCGCGCAAGATACGTCAAACGATCCGTTTGGTCCTCCGAGTTTCGAATATCTAACTTGCTTTTGTACCTATATTCGAAGCATTTTGGGATGGGGAGCCAAAAAACCTCTTTTCTGCCCTAAAGTGTGCCCCAAGAAGTCGTAGAACCTAGCCCCGCCTCTGATCCACAGACCACTAGTGCCATCTCTTGTCAGCCGAACAAGCCGCAGAAGTAAATAATGTCACGTGATCTTTGCACACGCTACAATTACTACGCAGCTGTAGTGGGGGAAGCGGGGTGGAGGCGTGGAGAGGGACGCGATCGGTCGGCTGGGGTCAGGTCGCCGAGGTCAGAGGTCATCCGCCGGAGGGTGTTTGAGCGGTTGGGCCGTGTGGGCTGGGGCCTGCGGAGTGGGGAGCGCCTGGACCTGTCTGGAAACAAGCCCTACAACGCTGTGACAGTCGAGAATATTGTGAGGAAAGAGAGAGAGAGAGAGAGAGAGAGAGAGAGAGAGAGAGAGAGAGAGGGAGATGGAGGGAGAGAGAGAGAGGGAGAGAGAGAAAGAGAGAGGAGAGAGAGGGAGATGGAGAGGGAGAGAGAGGAGAGAGAAAGAGAGAGGAGAGAGAGAAAGAGAGAGAGAGGAGAGAGAGAGAGAGGGGAGACAGAGAGAAATAGAGAGAGAGAGAGAGAGCCAGAGAGAGAGAGAGCGCGAGAGAGAGAGAGAGAGCGAGAGAGAGAGCGAGAGAGAGAGAGAGAGAGAGAGAGAGAGAGAGAGAGCGAGAGCGAGAGCGAGAGCGAGAGAGAGAGAGAGAGAGAGAGAGAGAGAGAGAGAGAGAGAGAGAGAGAGAGAGAGAGAGAGAGAGAGAGAGAGAGAGAGAGAGCGAAAGCGAGAGAGAGGGAGCTAAGAAAGACTGGAGGGAACGGATAAGGACGGGAGGAGAGAAAAGAGAGAGAGAAAAAACTGAAAAGGAAAACCAGAGAGGGTAAAATGATAAAGAGGGCAGTGGGTAAATCAGTGAGAGGGAGCGAGAGAGGAAATATTTAGTTGTGTCAGCTTGTTTCACATGTAAAATGCAAATTTGCTTTCCATCATTACAGCTTCGGATTGGAAATTAAATCTTAGCTTCCTTGTGATAAACCCACGTTCGGACGGGATGCAGTAGCGGTAGAACACCTTCAATTAAGGGGGGGGGGGGGGGCTCTGCCGACTTTTGGTCCTATTATTTCCATGCAACGCTCATAGGGCTAATGTTGAAATGCCAAAATCAAAGGGGGGAACGGTGCCCCGGTGCCTTCCCCATTCCGCCGCCTATGACTTTGTTTGTTTGTTTTGTTGGGTTAGGCCCTTTCGGTCGACAAGACCATTGCAGAGCCGGAAGGATGATAGGAATTAGGGGGAGACATTGGTCTGGGCAGGCACCCTAGTGAGTCACCGGGGTTGAGCCCGTCCAGAGGACAGGCCACCCAGCCCCAAGGCACTCACTGCACCCGGCTACGGGGTGCGCTCCCTCAGGAGCAGCGGTGCCGCTCCAAGGGAGCAGCCCGCATGAGATAAAGTTGCCTGTCCAGCCCGGAGGGGGGTTGCGGTTTGGAGGAGAAGGATTTCAGTATCCTGAGGATAGAAGCACGGACAGGTGACCGCCTATGACGGGATGGGGACGCTTTTATGGTCGTCGTTGGGAGCTCGGCACTAATGGGGTCTGGGGATGATGTTGAAGGCTTGGCAAATGTTTCATAAAAGATGCTATTTATTTTGCACAACCTATTAAACATTTTTTACGTTTGCTATGAAAATGTTAGGCCCAGTTCCTTCAAGATCAGGCCCACGACTCCACAGCTTACAGCAGGAGCTAGCTAACATGAACAATTAACCCGCGCCGTGTTGGTGGCATGAACTTTCCATCGAGTGCTGGGAGGGGGGGGGGGGGGCGTTTTACGCCCCTCCGTCTAACTCGGCTCCTGGGCCACGTAGCGACACGCGGTAAGCGACAATCGAGAGAGCGTCAAAAATAAGGGGTAAATCTCTCGTTCATTTTAAGGTCAGGGCAAAGATCAGGTCACCAGGGTTCATCAAAGGTCAAATTTTGTTGATTTCCACGATTTCGAACACCCGACGGCTAACTCGGGAACCAATAGAGCTACAGCGCCGCGGAAAAGCGCATTCGATAGCTCTTTTAACGCTTTTTCGCCAACCGTCCTCAAATTTGAACTCAGATCAACGGTTTAGCCCCCAGAGGGCACCGCTCTGATTGACCTCAAATTTGACCTCAGATCAACGGTGTTTTCACCGCTCTAGCACGTCTCTGTCAAAAGTAAAAAAACTGCTGAAGACTTTTTATGTCCTAAAATGACCTCAGGGGCACACACAGGGGTCACAGGTGCCATTTTCCGATTCAGTGTGTCATGTTTACCTATGGACCGATGTTTGAGAGGGTGTAGAACGAAATTCGTCCAAAAGAGGCGCATTTCAATTTTCTCCCATTGACTTATACCTAATGGAGCAGTCGCAAAGCTGACCTGACCTTAGGTCACAGACATAAAAAATCCGAGGTATCCATTTTATACATACTGTTACCCTAAGCAATTACTGAAAGTTTTAAAGTGATCGCTCAGTCGGTGTAGCTACAACGAGCTTTCAATTTTTTTTCTGAGGTAAGGTCACTTGACGTTACCTGGTGACATGACCTTGAATGACGCTATACGCGTCGCGTTGCCGTTTTTGAGATATTCGCGAAAAACCTGAAGGGGAAGGGCGTAAACCCTCCCCCCAGCACGGCGCGGGTGGTCGACATAGCGACTCGGACTGAACAAATGCCTTTAACGTTTCAACGGTTGAATAAGGTGAGAGGATTGAGGTAGGCTTGTATCGGATTTTCTTCTGCTTATCGGTAGTTTAGGTTGAAGTTAATTTCGCGAGCTGTCCATACTCCATAATAATTCAAGAGGGAAAATTCAGGTGCAATCGTTCAGGTCAAAGTAATACCAAACATTCTCAAATTTTGTAGTAAAGAGCCAGTAGTCTACGAATATATTCAAATAACAATTAGAAAAAGAATAAGCGGACCGGTTTCGTCTATCAAAGACTTCTTCAGCGCTTCTCAATAACGTATAAGAAGAAAACTAGCACAGTGACAATCGTTTGAAATAAAATTTGATTCAGTAAGAACTAAGAACTTCATTGTCCGAAAACCGCTGACAGTTGATAGCTCAATGACACTTAGAGCCGTGCATAAGGAGGCGTGAAAACACTCCTCATCTCGTTCTATTACGAGAGGACCATGTCATGGCGTGAGAAAGGTGTTCTCAAAATAAATGACACTGTATGAGTGAATAAATATTCCGCGCCCCCTGGGGCTATTGGCGGACTCTACCACCTGATGGGGTGGTGCAGCCGTTTCGCCCTCCACCTGAGATCTCGGAAAGCTACCGACCGATTTTAAACATTCAAAGAGCGTTTCATGGCCCCACCAGGGAACTATCTTGTTACCAGGTTTCGTTGACCTAGGTGCTGGATGCAACCCATGACGTCACAAGTCAGGTCAAAGTTCGCATTTTTTCACCGATTTAGTCTAAGGAATGCGTTACAGCCGTGGTTACAGTCAGTTAACACATCAAATAAAAGGCATGTTATCGAAAAACATCGATGGAGCGTTGGTTGTCTAATACATATGTTGCCTAAAGAGGTCATTGATGCCAGGTCAGTTCACAGAGGTTAGGTCACTAAGGGTCACAATATGAACCCAACTATGCTAGGGTCGTGTGATACATGTTTTATGGCCAATTTTACATTTAAAATTCAATGGTGTGAGCTAGACGGCCATTGGGGCCAGTTTAGATTATATTCTGGTGGAGGTCAGGTCATGGTCAGGTCAAAGAAGGTCAAATTTCAAAGTTGATATTTTGCATAAAAGGAATATCTATTCGATGCAGCTCATCACAGGAAATCCAATGGTGGCCTATGGCTTGCTTTGTGTGTTCTGTGACGGCTAAAAACTGAATTTGAAAATTTTACGTAATAAATTTTGAGTAGTTTTTTTGCCATAACTTTGCTAAAAATGGAGCTATCGAGTTTAAGTTTGGCATATCTAGAGCAGATAGTTCTATAACATATATTTCAGTTTTAATTTTGAAAGTTGTTGGTATTTTCGGGGTGTTATACTTCTATTGTTTTGATGGTCAAAATCAATTTTTGTTTGGAAATAAGAGTTAGCATTTGGTAGCGCTGTTTATTTTAAATCTTTTTTATCATGAATATTTTTCGTTATCTTCAAAACTGTAAGCGTGACAGCTCTTCCCGCTAAACCTTTTATTGGGTCGAAAATGACAGAACATGGCATCCCTCTGACGTCATTTGTGACTAACCTTTCATAAGAGCTCTGGAAAAAATTGGTCACAAGGTGTAAAAATGATGCCCGGGAGGGGTCTTGAAAGTTTGGTGGCGACATTTGCTATACTTTAGGAGATATCGACTGAAAAGGAGAGATGGGGCCGTTTCGCGCCGCCCTCCCCCTCAACGGGGCTTTCAGTTGCTGCTCTCACAGAACTCTTGGTTATATTACAACGTAGTTGAATTGCAAGTGGCAATATAAGCTCCCTGCCAGCGCCGGAGCAGAGTTTAAACATGCAGGCTGAATTTTAACATTTATTTTTTGAATTTTTAATCCGTTGAGCTTTTTAGAAGTTGTATGAACTGCTCAGCTCCTTTTTTGGTCCATCACAGCGGACTTGTATGTCATTTGTCAACCAAAATCAAATTAAAAACTTTTTATTTTGTCTCGCTACCTCGCCAACTTCTTAACTGGATCGTTTAGTAGCCTTTGATTGGGCACTGCCCACGTTGTCTGTCTAGATTTCGTGTCATAGACACTGTCTATGACACGAGAAGAGGCTGCTGACATCGTTTGTCGCGGTTGGATATTACCAATCCACATCCCAGTGGCTGCTCGATCGCACTTTCCCTGGCCCACCTCTCCCACCAGGCAAGACTTTGCCCGGCACAGCCGTCGCCTCAGTGCCTCGGGCGGTGACCTGTTCAAAGGGGCTCACAATTCGTATGGTGCCGTGGCTCTCAAACCAATACAGAAAGCTGAAACGCAAAGGCTCACTTTCCATATAAGGCGAACGGCTGATTCTGGCGCCGGGGCTTCATTCATGCTAAGGCGCCCAATCACAGCGCCGCATTTCAGTTAGTGTCGGGCGCAAAAGCTACTATGCTCCGCCCCTCCATCACGTGACCCTGCCCTCACGTGGCCTCAGTCACGTGGTGTTTCCACTTCTTGGCGCATGGCGGCGCTAGTCTCGCAGGGGCGGTGGTAGCTTGCTCCCCCGCCGTCCGGGGGTGATGGGTAGCAAGTGCTGGTGACTGTACGTCCTCTTTTGACCTGTTAACACATGTCATTCAGCCATTGAACCGTACCTTCAAGGATAATTCGTTCACCATGCGCTGTGTGCATGCGTATGTACTTCGGAAACACACGAACACTCAATTACAGCGAACACGAACACAGGCAGTCCAAGATCAATTCAGCCAACACTCCATTAACCACGCAGCCCTACAGGCACGTTTGCCTATATCTTTATGCTTCAATGCAGCAAACAGCCTCACAGACACGTTCGCCTAAACTACAACATAGCACAAAGCCGCACCACGAAACGGCTGTCATAAGCCAGGTTTGATCGCTGTCGGCTTTGCACAATGTATTGTACGTACAGCCCACCGCTAAAGTAATGTAGGGTTTTACCAATCTCAACGGTTGGCTTTGACTGGCGATTGTTCAATGCGGAGTGATCGAAAAGAAGATATCAGTAGCTAAAGTTGCAGCTACAAGGGTGACGATACATATAAGCTACATTCAAAGTTTCATTGTAGTCTGGTAAATCGTTCCTAAGCTTCAGAAGCAGAACATACCCATGACTGAAACCCCACATTACTTCTGCTGTGGACTGTACATGTACGGTGGTCCAGGGTATATTGTATTAAGCCACTGCACTGGTTATTTAACTGTCGCTTAGCATTTGGTTAGAACGGACGTAAGTGAGCTCAATATTTCATTTTCTAAGTTCATCCTGTATTTATGCATAGGCAAGACTACTTTACTGAAATATTTATACAGGGTATATGATTGCAGCAGGACACTACTAGATTATACCTACTGTTAATGGATTGTCTATAGGTGACTGACATGCACCATCAGTCGTGCCGTGCGGCCCTTTTCGCTATCAATCGAGTATTCTTGAATTAACCCTTGCCCGGCGAGGAGGGGGGGGGGGGGTAATCACCCCCCCCCTCCCAAGGATTTCGCAAATAACGTATAAACTGCGGACACCCTCTGGGGCAACCACCTTTTGGCACATATTCTGAAAATTTCAGGTCTCAGTCTCTTCAGGTCAGGTCACCAGGTCTTAACCCTCGCCCCGCTGGGGGGGGGGGGCAATTTGCCCCCCCTGTGGTTTTTCCTGAATAACAAGAAAACGGCGGCGGGCAGCGCCGCCAAATACTCAGTACCTTCACGGGCATCAATTTGACACCTTCACACAAAATTTCAAGTCTAAGATCACCTTAGGTCAGGAGTTATTGAGGTCAAGCTGAGTTCATGTTCGAGCAAAAATGAGCAAAAAACATGAAATCTTGAAACCTTCACAAAAGCTACAGTTATCAAGCAATTTCAAAGTTCTTTATATGGTCATGTAAACAAAAGGCAGCGCTACAAAACTGCTATCTCGGATTTTCATAATTCTAGGATTTTGACCCCAAAATTCAAAAAATTGATTTTTTAAACGCAAAAAAAAAAACAAAAAAAAAAACCGAAAATAGAAAACCGGAATATATGTGATAGTCCCTACCCTTTTCTATCTATATACCAAATTTTAGATCGATACCTCCTTTTTGGCCAAGTTATAGCAAAAAAAAGCTCAAAACTGATGACGTCAAATTTTTGAACTCAATTTTTGGCGATTCTAGACCACGTAGCGCAAAACAAAAACCACCAATGAACTCCCCCCGTGACGAGCTGCATCGAATCGATACCCATTTTATGCAAAAATATCAACTTTGAAATTTGACCTAATTTGGCCTGACCTTGACCTGACATTCACCAGAACATAATCTAACCTGACCCCAAAGGCTGCCTAACCCATATAATCGTATTTGGCATATAAAATGGACCGTAAAATATGCATCACATGATATTTTCATATTGTGACCCTCAATGACCTGACCCACCTCTGTGACCTGACCTGGTACCAGTGACCTCAAATAGCAGAATATGTGTTTGAAGAACATTTCCCCACCGATGCTTTTCAATGTTTAGTAGTCTGTTTTGTTGGAAGGCAACAATAACGTAAATAACAGCTTGAGCAACTGAATCATGAATGAATGAATGAATGAATGACTGGAGGATGAATGAATGAATGAATGAATGAAATGAATGAAATGAAATGAATGAATGAATGAATAAATGTATGAATGAATGAATGAATGTATGAGTGAATGTATGAATGAATGAATGAATATATGAGTGAATGTATGAATGAATGAATGAATGAATGAATGAATGAATGAATGAATGAATGAATGAATGAATGAATGAATGAATGAATGAATGAATGAATGAATGAGAAAACAGGACGAATGCGATTACACGTAAACAAAGCATGACCTACAACGTTTTTACAGAAACATTCGTCGCCAGAACAACAAAGAGCGTCATCGGCCCGTTAGGAGACAAAAAAAAAAAAATGAAACGTTTATGTAAGTTTCTGCTTTCTGGGCCACTGCGGCTCTTCAAAGGCACCGAACGGTGCGCCACAGTACACCCGTGCCGGAAGAGGAAATGGTATACATCGGTGTCGGACAATCGACAGCCGGCGCCGCGAACCTGTCGCCGGCGCGGCCGATGGGGCCTGGGGTCGCCTTTGCACCCGACAGCACCGGTCGTGCACCGACGCTCGGCCGACCCCGAACGACGCGTGACGTAGGCGCCAGCTCGGCCGCCGATTGGTCGACGGCCAGTCATTCGAGTATCAGCTGGTGGGAGGCCTTGTGGCGGCCCCGCAGGCGTATATATCTTTCCCGAGCGAAAAAAACAAACATTCCAGTTTTTTGGCGCTTTTGTTTCAATTATGGTGGTTCTGTTCGAAGGCTCATACAGATGGTGTTTGCGCAAAATTTCTAACGGAAAATCACCGACTATTTAGTGTCGACAGCTGCATATTAACTTTTTGAACACGCCTCCATCACTGCTTGTTTATTGGCTGTCCGTGGTATTGGGATTTGGGCTGTGTTGCTGTATATACCGTGTGTTGCTGGGTGATTGTGATAATATTCTGATGATTAACCTTTTTATTCAGCGGTAGAGACCCACAAGTTGACTCCATTATAAATATTGTCTCTTTATCATGAAACAGACTCAGAAACCTTGGCATGAATGCTCTCAGGCTCTCAAGAGAATGTTGAAATTCAGGTCTCAAAAGATTAAAATTACAATAATGAAATGTTTCACCTACCTTCCAAGCCATAAACACTCATATTGGTACTGGATGGAACTTAAAATAAAAAAGAGGGGTGGATAATTAGGGGTTTGTAGCACCCCCTGGGATTTTCCACCAATGAAGTAGGTACCTATATGCTGCAGAGACCAGGGCCCTGTTTCACCGTTGATAGCAGCATGCTACTATCAAATTGCGCGAGCTGACGTAATGTGATGAGGTCACACTTATGACGTTTCGTGTAATCTGTGAGCTGCGTTTGGAACAGAGTTGCTGTTTCGTTGAATGCGATGTGTTTGATCGCACGACCGTGAAGCTGTTGGCAGCAATGTTTGATGACATCACACAGATTGACGGCGTCATGGTTTGCTGATGTTTCCGTGGAAACCCAATTTGACACGTGTGATAGCAGCGTGCTGCCATCACCGGTGAAACAGGGCCCATAATAGCATGGTCTGTGTTGCACATATTGATGCTGAAGCTATACCTACAAATGTCTTTCAGATAACCTACTGAGTGTTCACATTCATCACAAATGCAGTCATTCTCCGGTATATTACATCTGATGTGCTGGGCATCATCAATGTCAGGTATGCACCCTTTACTTTTTTCCTATCATGCATCAGTGATGCATCCAATGTCTGAGTTCCTAAGTAGAACATATGCTATTTTCTCACCAGAACTGTAGTGTGTACTCCATAAGAAAAATGCTAATTTTGCTGAATTTTGCTCTGAATTTGCTGAAAAATGCTGAAGCAGTTGCTGACGGAGGGCGAGCGCTACCTGATGACCGCCTTCCACCTGCTCGACTTCTCCGAGCAGGGCCTGTACGACGTGGTGGCCAACCTGGGCAGCCTGGCGGCCCGCTTCCTCTTTCAGCCAGTCGAGAAGAACGCCTACGTCTACTTCTCGCGCACAGTGGAACGGGGAAAGGTAGGTGGCAACGTGGCTGATTGTGTGGTAGGAGGTGATTGATGTTAGTTTTTTTTGTGTTTTTTTTTTACTGAGGAGTAGTGGCATTTGGTGAAAATATCAGTAACGTTGACCACAGTGTGTCGATGCCCGGTAAGGCGCCGAAAAAGCTGTAAGCACACACTCCTCTGATATTAGCCAATTATACTCGTAGCTACTCTTCATCTCCGCTATAAGTCCTTACTGCCAGTCGTTGTGATCTTCATCTTGGTGTCTTTTTTGTCATTCGGTTTGTTTTATTGCCCAGCTTCTATCCTTCTGGCCATCTCTCCCCTTCTCGCCAGTCACTGGAAGGGGACAGTTTGGCACCTCTCCTCCAGCCGGTGCCTGACAGCTCCCTCCCCCTCCAGCCGGTGTCTGCGGTGGCGGGCCGGGCCGGGTGCTACACGACCTACTCCGCGCTATGAGTCTGACCCTACCCCCTCTCCCTGCAGCCGGTGTCTGCCGCGGCGGGCCGGGTTCTGCACGACCTGCTGCGCGCCATGAGCCTGCTCGGTCTGGTTGCCGTCACGTTCGGCTGGAGCTACCCCCCCCCCCCCCCTGCTGCTGCGGCTGTACGGCGGCGCCCTGCTGGCCGCCGGTCCGGCCGTCAGTTTGCTGCGCGCCCAGTGCGCCTACGTGCTCCTACTGGCGGTGAACGGAGTGCTGGAGTGCTACACGTTCGCGGTGATGCGCCAGGAACAGATCAATGGGTAAGTGCCGTGGAGGGTTTATGGAAAGCAGTCGGGAAATGGTCGGTGGCTTAGTAAGGAGTGAGGTAAATTAGTCGGTAGAGGCTGAGCGGATTAGGAAATGACGTTCTCATGTTGGTTTTTGTTGTTAGACTGCCTTTTGCGGCTAAAGGCGAAGTAGAAAGGCTGGCCAGTTGTGTCGATAAAGTGAAGCTAGGAACGCTACTATCGGGCGCTTTGACAGGTGTTGTGGCGTTTTCCGGTGTTTCAGGTATAACCGGAAGATGGTGCTGCTATCTGTGATATTCGTCATCTCGACAGGGATCTTTACTAGGCTATTCGGCGGGGTTGGATTTATCCTCGCCAACTGCGTCAATATGCTGACCAGGATATACGTTTGGTGAGTTTTTGTGTTTTTGAATAGATTTGATTTGTCCTAATTGGTCTAATTATTTACATCATTATCCAATCTGTCATGGATAGTCAATATCACGCTTTATCGCCGATCTCGATATACTTGGATCTCGTTACTTCACCCGTCCACGACTGATACGAATGTCTGCTGTCCCCAATAGTGTCCTGCACCCCTCTCAATTGTCATCCCGTCCCCTCCCCGTATGCTGCTGGTTCCCGATACAGTGCCCCGTGCCACTCTCAACCATCATGTCTTCGTCCCATTTTCTGCTGCTGCTGCCCGCTCGCCCCGTCCAGTGTGTTGCTGGCGCTTGATGCAGTGTCCCGTACCCCTTTCACCCTGTCCCCACCCCGTGTGTCGCTGATGCCCGATACAGTGTCCCGTACCTCTCTCACCCTGTCCCCGCCCCGTGTGTCGCCAGTTACCGGTTCGTGGCCGGTCTGCCGCTGGAGCCGGCGGTGTCCGTGCCGCCGCTACTCGGTCTCCGCCCGCCGCCCGCCGTGGCTGCCGCGCTGGTGACCGCCGGCCTGCTGGCAGCCGGCTCCGAGAGCTGGCTGTACCCCAGCTCCGCCGCCGCCCATGTGGCTGTGGGCGCGCTCTGTGGGGCCGCCGTGGTGGCCGCGGCGGTGTACAGCGAGCTCCGCCTCCTCCAGGCGGTCAGGGAGCGGGTCGGGGATAAACTGAAGCGCAGCTAGCGGGGAGTGCTACTCACATGGTCATGCAGGGAATAGGTTTGTTTTGTTGTGATATTTATGTGCATTTTGGGTTGAATATACACCGTGCCTGTAAGTAGAGTGGATGTATCAATTTTAAGACTAGTGCGACTGCAGGGGGCGTTGTGGCTATCGCCCATTTGAGAGCTGGACAGTGCTTGAAAGCAACTTCCTACCCATGAATTTTGGCATTCAGATCCTAATTATAGCCATCTGTGATGAACGATGCAGGGGATGCAGAAAATCGATGCAGAAAATCGTGGCCGGTTAGCGTCTGGTGGGGCTTGTAGGCTAATGATGGGCACGACCAGGTGCTGTATGCTATATGTGGTGACAGCAGCGTTCCTGAGCGTCAGGTGTATCTCTTGCTCTGAAGTCCAGAAGTCCTTATCGTTCTTGTGCATTCACTTTGTCAGTGCCTGATGTCAGTGTCAGTGTTTGTCAGTGTTTCATTCTGTAGCAGACATGCAGTCATATTTGGTTAAATAGAACCTTGCAGTCTGAGGCAGTCTTTTCATTACAGTACCTCATTACAGCGTCTCATTCATTACAGTTCAATATTTAGAAATGCAAGACATTGGGGCCGATCGGGCATAGAAATACAAAACAACAGTATACGCTCGCTGGCTATTATTCTGAGACTCAGCATTGAACCTGCCATCACTACAATACAGGAGGCGACAGGTGTAGAGGTGATGTCATAGGTACTCATTTATCAAGTTCAAGTTCTGCTGACTTGACCCACAAGTTGACTCCATTATAAATATTGTCTCTTTATCATGAAACAGACTCAGAAACCTTGGCATGAATGCTCTCAGGCTCTCAAGAGAATGTTGAAATTCATGTCTCAAAAGATTAAAATTACAATAATGAAATGTTTCACCTACCTTCCATTGCCATAAACACTCATACTGGTACTGGATGGAACTTAAAATAAAAAAACAGGGGTGGATAATTAGGGGTTTGTAGCACCCCCTGGGATTTTTAGAATTATCTACCGCTGAATAAAAAGGTTAATCATCAAAATATTATCACAATCACCCAGCAAAACACACGGTATATACACTATACAGCAACACAGCCCAATACAACAGACAGCCAATAAACAAGCAGTGATGGAGGCGTGTTCAAAAAGGTAATATGCAGCTGTCGACACTAAATAGTCGGTGATTTCCCGTAAGAAATTTTGCGCAAACACCATCTGTATGAGCCTTCGAACAGAACCACCACAATTGAAACAAAAGCGCCAAAAAACTGGAATGTTTGTTTTTTTCGCTCGGGAAAGATATATACGCGCCCCGCAGCCGCCAGCCTTGGTCGGCGTGGCGCGAGGGTGGGCGGGGGAACGCCCGATGGGGACGGAGGGGAGGGGGAGCTGCGACAACGGCCGCCGGCCGCGAGGCTGCTGAGTTCGTTAGCAGTGCGGTTTAGAGTTTGGTTGGAGTGGGAGCGGAGTTTGTGTCGCCAGTGAAGCTCGGGAGCCGAGTGGGCAAAAGTCTTCATCGATCGGTGGGCTGTCTGGATCGTATAGGTGTGGATCGCCGGACCTGGCACCTTCGACCCAAGCTCATCCAGATCCAGTCGGCCGGGGGCGGGCCAGAGAGCTGCTCTGGTAGCTGGAATACCTGCAGATAGGACGACGAATTAAGAAAAAAAGGTAAGTAACAAGGCCGTCCGCGTAATGATCGGTTTCATCCATACCTACACTCCCAGACCAGTCGTGAGACGGGACCAGTCGTTTCACGCGCTTCACATTGTACGGTTATAGTTGTTACAATCTCCTAGCCCTTACCGCTGTCTTTACCATTTTACCCCGTCATGTTATCTGGCCTGAAGTCGTCTGTCTCGCCATCACGTCTGTTTGCTAATTTGTTCCTGTCATTATGCCACTTAGAGCCAGATGGTGTAGTGGTGAAACGGACAAATGTGACCTCTGCGTCCGGCTTTGTCGCGCTTTGCCCTGCATGACCTGTTCAAAGGTCACCAAGAATCAATAATGTTTGGCGTCGTGTGACGTGTGACCGCGTTTAGCCATAGTTAGGTACTTCTGATTCTGGTGCCCCGTTTAGGAAAGATCATGTCACAGTTCTAACTTTGTGTGGCATGTCTGAGGTCCTGTCTCACAGTACACTGTGTGTCCGTTGTCTCTGAGGTCAGCCGCTCTTTCTGACGCTCTGTGACCTGTTCCAGCGGCCATGTCGGACCTGTGGCGCGGCTCGGTGCTCTTCTCGTGGGGCTGTGTGGCCACGGCCGTCCTGCGGCTGATGCGCGCCTCCTGGCACGCCCGCGAGGAGCCGCTCGACTGGGCGGCGCTACTCCGCTGGAGTCTGCTGGTCGCACCGCTCGCCGGCGTCGCTGCCAGTACGTGACTCTCTCTCTCCCCCTCTCTCTCTCTCTCTCGACGTCTCCCCTCGCTTTCTACCTCTTTTCTCACTGTCGCTTTCAGTGGTTCTCACACACATGCGGCTCGAACGTTCCGGCCTACTCTCTCTCCCTCAAACTCTGTCTGTTTCGACGCTCACCCTCTTCTATGCTTTCACCAGCCGCCGTCGCCCGCCGTTTCACTGCTCCACGCTTGTGGTTCCTGACACCGCCTCTGCTATACCTACTGTGCAGTACCCACCCCGGTGCATTGTATACAATCCATATCTCAGAGGCGCCACTGCACGTGCTAATCCCCGGCAGGACACGTGAGGAGGCCCCCTCCCCCGGGGGGGGGGGGGTACAACGGACGGGTGACGTCACCACTTGAACCGGCGCCACTCACGAGCCTTGTGTCCAAACAATGTCTGAGACCGAGGTGGCGTAGTCGAGCGATCAAGGGCCACTGCTGCGTCATGTTAGGCATTCATGAATTGGCGAGTTTTTATCTCTCTGAAGCGGCGCATGTTGTCGTTTTTTTTTTTGTCGCAGAGGCGAATCGAGGGCGACCAGTTCGGAGAAACCCTAACAATCAACCGTGCGCGACTAGAAAATCAATGAGGATTTACAGGATTGAGCCTTGACCTTTGAGACTTTGTGTGGTGGTACTGCTACAGTTATAATAACTTGAACGTGTTAGACGACTGTTTTCAACATCGGTAGACGAGCCGAGTAAAGAGTGCGTCACGAAATGTTTGGTCGGGTCCCGTTCGCCTGGCACGTCAATCTGTGAGAATGGCGATGGAGACGATGCACAGTGCATACACCTCGTGATCGTTAAGTGGCCACGTTCGTCAGCTCAGACTCTTCCCTCCTTTTTCCTTTCAGTTATCGTCGGCCTGGCGTACCCGCTGTTCGACCGGTGGCTCAACTCCCAGCCGGCGTCGGGCCGCGACTGGGCCTCCGTCACGCGCTGTCTGGCCCTCTTCGTCGGCATCAACCACGCCAACAGCCGGTTCCACTTTGCCACGGACGCCGAGCTGGCTTGGACGCTGGCGCTGCTCAGCCTGGCGCTCTGGTGGACGTTCGACCGCACCACGTGCGGCTTTGTGATCGCCTCGCTGGCGGCCGCCGTGGCGCACGTGGTCGCCTACTATCTGGTGCTGCGAATCGTCTTTAGGTGAGCCGACACTCTTTTATAACACTTGCCCTGATAATTGGTACTTTTTGCGTGCTGATACTCGTACTACACTTAACCATGCATTCATCTAAGTAAAGATCACATATTTCACGCTATACCAAGGGAAAATTACTCTGCAGCCAGTCCATACGCTTGCAGCCTGTCCGTTGTGACGCGAGATGTGTTTATTGCTCTTGCAAGCTCAAACGATTTTCTGCAAGAGTCACGGGTAACAGGTGGCATGCGACACAGATTCAAGGTTCAGAACGCAGAATAAGTGTTGTTTTTGTGATCCTGCTCTATAGCAGGTACCCTATATGAGACAGCTGACAGCTACAATAGAGACAGCTGACCCATCCCCCCAAAACGGACGACCGTCCCCATCAGTTAGCTGCCATCTCTGAACGCCGCCCGTTTTAACTCAATCCCCGTTCTCCGTGTGACACGCAGTGGGACGTCACTGGAGCTGTCGCGACTGAAAGCGTGGTTCCCGTTTGTCGCCTTCTCTGCCGGTATCACCATCGGCAGCGTGGGAAGACAGCTGGCCGAACCTCCCCAGCAGCGGGAGAAACTCCACAAGGACTGAAGGAGCTGAACCTTCAGCAACCGGACGACGTCGCGGATCTTTCAGAGACAGGACGAAACGTCAGAACGAGCCAGTACCTACCCATTTGTGCGATATATGCGGTTGTGACAAACTAATCGATGTTTTGTTAAGATGGCCGACGCTTGTAACTAGCTTCACGATGATGTGAGACGCCTTCACGAAGGGCGAATGTTTGATCTAATGGTAAGACGGAGTCGAGACCCCTCGTGCGCGAGTTGACGCACACTGTCGTGAAGGTGCCGCGCAACAACAGGGTAGGACCATCACTAGATGGTCTGCTAGTGACCTGTGCAATCCTTGTGTGGGGGCTGCAGGACCATCAGCACTGGCTGATGTGTCATAGCCTGCCATGTGTGTCTCAAACCTGCGCCGATCTCGACGGACGACGACGAGTTGGGCGCAGGATAACCGGCGCTATAGACTGCTGTGATAGTTGGTGGGCGATGTTGCTCAGACTCTGGCTCTCCTGTTGAGAAGGGGGGAGGGGGAGGGGACGACCTGCCGCGTGCTGAGACCCATTCTTGATGCCCATGTCGTTCTAGATCGGGGAGGTATGGGTGTGTTTTTATACCTCATTTTGTTTGTATCGTTTTGTCAACTGCCAGGGGCTAAGGCCATTTGCCGGCCACAATGTCGTCGATATTAGTTGTGTGCGGTGTTTGTCGTTTTACTTTGGAGGATCGTCTGTGTCGCATCATTGCCCGTCGGACGTCCAGCAACCCAAGGTGCCTGGGTGCTGGGCGGTTACGTGCCGCGCCGGCTCGCGCTGCGCCTGGGAGCCGCGCATATGGTGGAGAGATGGAAACCCCGGCCAGTGGACACGCCGTAACGTGTGGTTGCCAGAAAGTGCTGTGCTCGCTAGGTGGCGGGTAATAAGGTAGTCGTGGGACTCAATATATGACCGAATATGCCGCAGTGTTTGAGGTCAGAATCCAGTGTTCCATGGAAATGTTTTCAAAAAGACACCTCAAAGTACCATTGCCTACAATTTTCATTCTTGAAATCATACAAATCATACAAACATGAAACATCATGACTGCTTCCTCAAGGTCAAGAATATCAGGATTCATGAATTCAAAAAGTGTATTTCAGCATGGAGTTCAAATAATCAAAATCAGGGCCGCATGAATCATTTGAAAGGACAACAGCCCACCCGTGGGAGCAAAGATGCTTGGGTTCAATGAAGGAAAACTGCCTATTTTACAGGATCAGCGACTATAATTTACTTTTCCATTTATAAGACGGAAGGCAATTTTCAAATATTGGTGGATGTAAACACAAACACAGCACATTCTATCATATACACCTAGCCTCCAGACCAGTACAAAAATAACACCAAACAAAGACATAAAAGGTCAGCATCCCCGCACTTCTTGCTCAACCCATGTCATATGGGACGCTTTTACACATAACAGCGTTACTGAGGCAGATTCGACAATAACCTTGACATCAGAGCTTGACATCGCCACCAGTCGAATGCGTCAGGAACTGCCAACACTGTCCTATAAACGCATGATATCCTTAAACAGTCCTGTTTTCGTACAGCCACAGCACAGTCGTAGCGTAGCGAACGGCAGTTCCCAGGTCTATTAGACGGTCAAAGTTGGTTTGCTGCTTAGCGGCATCAGTGAACACACCATAGAGTTCACCCAACTCATGGGTCACAGGTTACTGTACAGTGTACAGTCCAGCTCTCTCACTGCCAATGTACGTACCATCGACCTGACGCTACCGCTCACCCGCGGGCAGACCCCACCTCGCTGGATGGAACCCGGCACTGCGCCCAGCACTTGTCAAACGGTTCAGTCCTACAGCACAGAATCTCAGTAGTACATGCCGCGCATACGTCGCCCGATGCTCTGCTTGTCATAGAGCGTGTTGAACTTGTTCATGTACTGCATGGTTCGGTAGCAGACCTTGGTGAGCGCTCCCAGGTACGTCATGAGCGTGACGTCGTTCATCTGGGTGAAGAGATCCTGCACCACGGGCGCCGACTGCAGCACCGGCAGCCGGTGGCTGATGCTGTACGCCTCGCGAAGGATGTCGTAGTTGACCGGCACCTCGCCCGCCTGCATCGCCTCGATGTAGCGCACGATGAGGCGCACACGACTGCGCAGCATCTGCAGCGCAAAGTGCTGCGGCACCAGGCTCTCAGCCACCTTGGACTTGTCGTCCGTCTCTCCGGCGGAGACGCGCGCCACGTGGTCCACACCGATACGCTCGGCCTCCTCGGTGGCGAGGGTGTAGCCGGTCTCGAGCAGCAGCATCTGTGCCTCGCCGTCCACCAGGTCCATCACCGACTCGAGCACCGTGATGGGCAGCTCGCTGCTGATGGACTGCGGGTTCAGCTTCAGCAGCAGCGCGCTCTCGTTCAGCTGGCAGATCTGCTTGTGCACGCTGATGTCCGAGGCGTTGGGTGCGCCGCCGGTCGTGTACCAGCCCAGCATGTCCATGTGCTCGAACACCTGCTTGAACTGCGACTCCTTCAGCTTGTAGTACTCGACATCGATGACGATCTGACCGTCCACCTCGTCAAACACTAGCTCGTACGAGTTCATGATCTCGACGTTGCGTCCCTTCTGCTGTCCGATGATGGCGCCGAGCACCTGGCGCGGCGAGTCCTCCTGTGCGCGGATGCGCGTCCAGTGCTCGGAGATGTTGAGGATGACCAGCGGGTGCAGCTGAACGGTGACGCTGGCGCTGCCCGTGGCCATCACCCCGCTGATGGCGCTGCTGGAGGGGCCCGGCGCCGCCTCCGCCGCCGCCGAGCCCGCGCCGGAGGTCGACGGGCCGGCCTCCACCTCCATCGAGGTCATCCTTGCCGCTCGGGTGTGTGCGATTCTCCGAAGGGATGTACTCAATTCTGAGCAGAGCTGGATCAGTTCGTCTCCGAATGGTGCCTGAGGGTCCAAAAGAACTGTTTTCTGAATTTCTACTGGTAGTATCCTTAAAATAACAATTGTAGGTAGTAGGTACCAACTTGGCACATACATGATACAATACTGCTGTTTTCTGGCCTAAGGTTTCAAAATATGCCTTGTAGGTATGCTTTGATTTGACAGACATAACACAGACCATACTTATTTAAAAATGATAGGTTTGCATTACCTACCTATCATTATTCCATGTAACACAAGTTAAATATATTTATTTAATGTAATTAAATTAAATCTTTAAACAATTTTCTTTCAAAACACCGATCCATTTATGGAATGGCCAGCTGATTTTGATGCCCAGAAACTGCAGAAAAGCCATTTTCCTATCACCATTTTTGAGTGAATTTGCTGAATTTAATCCAATCACGATAATTCCTAGCGGAAAATTGAAGCCTTTTCTCTCCAGTCTTCGATAAGTGGACGCGATTGGAGATACTGCAAGTACCGGCACATTATACTGTTTATCACCTGCAGTAGCGAGGGCTGCATTTATGCTCACATATGGTCATCAAAAGTCTATTCATTTACCGATCAATTTTTGGATCTTTGCTTCGTAGTTTCCCTAACTGAACTCCGTGAAACATAAGACAGAACTTATTTGCAACAGAAAATGCAGCAAAATGAAAAGGTGCACAACAGACCTTGCACTACAATATAAAACTCGAATCTTAATTTTGTAAGTGAACTAGATTGAGACACTTAAGTTAACACATCAACATAGCCCATAGTTACAAAATTGATATAAAATTGAAATGAAAAGAATGATACTTACCGGGAAAGGCTTGACCGGCTTGACTATTGTTTGCTAAGTTTCTAGCAGACAACCTTCCAAATAAAATTCAACAGGTTATTCACGTTTCGACAGCGTGATAGCTGATGATACACTAACCGAAAATTGGATAAATATTACCTAATTTGAATGATAACATTCACCAAGCGAAGCACTCAAGAAGCACTTGCTGCGCCACAAACGAAACTATTTGTCGACAATTATATATGGTAGCTCTTCAGAAGCTTGATATGGTAGCAGCTGGGTAGCGGATTTTTTGAAGGAAGTCCTTCAGCTTCTTTCCTCTACCGTATGTTCAATATTATGTGTGTGGTGTACTGTTTTGAAATGCTGGATAAACGCTTGGCATTGCATATCCCTCGCACGACCAGGCCATTTCTCATAACACGAACGACCAGGGGGGGGGGGGGGTTGTTACGACCGACTCCCCCCTGGCGTTTCGAAACGGAAGGTCGTAGAGCTTAGCGGAAAAAACCAACGGATTGCTCTCAACGAGATCTCGCGATTGGTGGTATATTTTTTGGTCCTAGGTCAACATTTGACCTACTTATGACCGGTCAAAGGTCAAATTTTCCGAAAAAATCAAACTTTTTCAACTTTCCGCGGCGATTGCGGCAAAACGGTGGGAGATATCGACTTGAAACCTTCACTATCGTGTTTCTTGATCAATTCTCTATCGTTTGGTATGTATTTCGTTTCCCTAGCTCTAAAAATGGCGCGTTGGGAGCGCCGGAAGTCGGCAAGGTCACAGTCGGCGGCAGAAATTCGAAAAATCAAAATTTATTTTTTTGAAATCTGATTGTATTTTTGGATTTGGGAGGTCCATTTGCTCCCTATAGAAGCTAATATTGCTGCATATTCCCATTGAGGTGACAAGAATTAGCAAAATAGTGGTTCGGGCGCTTTTCAAAAATAGTACCGGACGCTGTTCCTCTTGTGACGTCATAGCTCCGTGACCTGACCTGACCCGGTCAATTTTCTTGCACCACACGATAGCCAATGCTTGCCCCAACATGCATGGGAAGTTTCATCATGATCCATCAAACAATGTGGGTATCACCGGCAGAAAACCTGGGGATTCGGCGCACACGTTTGGTAACTGTCGGCCGGAGGCTGTAACTCTTATGACGTCATAACTCCGTGACCTGACAGACATGACCCGATCAATTTTTTTTCGGCAAAAGATGCGCAAAGGTTGCCCCAGAGGGTATTGAAAATTTCAGCCCGCTACGACAAGCCGTTTAGCGTGCACTTCGAAAAAACCTCAGGGGGGGGTTGATACAACCCCCCCCCCCTAGGCGTTCTAGGGATATAAAACAGTTTCAAGATGCTGCTCATAGTTCAAAACAGAGTACTCTAACAGACACGCTCAAAACTACAGATCTTTCCCTAATCATCCCCACGGAACCCTTGTTCAACACACTCGAAGCGCCCTCTAGTCTACATACACTACCGTCCTCCGACCCCGAGATCCAGAGGCTACCCTTGTATTCCTATAGCGCTCCGATGGACCCCAAAGAGCCTTTCAAACTTCTGGAATAACCAGCACGGGTATCGAGACTTCGTCTAGCCTCTTGACCTTGACATTGCCTCCAGCACTCCAGCTTTCTCACAGCCTACGTCTCCCTCATTTAGCCATTCGTTGCCACGTTCATAACTAGATTACTGCTATCGTTTTGATCCGTGGCCTCACGCCGGCATTATGACGTGGTGAGTGACACCGAAATACCGTTAAATACCGTCTGAGCGAAACAGGGCAGCTTTTTTGTGTGATTCATTACCGTTTCAAGTCGGTTGTTGCTCGATTGACCTGGCGGTGCATTGCTAGATCAATACGAACCGACTCGACTATATGCCCAGGGCTGTGATAAGTATAGCGGCTCTTAGCATCTTGCGTTGGTCATCTGATTGTACGCAGTGAAAGCAATCCATGTATTGCTATTGTTCATGAGTACATGTATTATTCCACAAGACATTCCACTCATTTTTATGACCAGCAATTGCGTACTAAATAGAAAACAAACCACGACTTATCTATGATCAAAGGCGCATGAAAAGTTAACACCCGACGCCCAGTATAAGATGAACATGGCATGAATGTCCAGTCCACGTCTAATACTCAAGTCGTGATTCGACTTGAGACGTGAGTCCGAGTCCTACGACACTTCCACTATTACCAAAATTCGTATTAACATACCTTCGAATAAAATGCAGAACAATCAGGTACACATCTGAGTTGTCGTAAGTTGTAACACATCTTGGTGACACTTACGACACTCGAGCGTCAAAAATAAAAGACGGGCACCCGGGACTGCAGATTGCACAAGCTTTCAGACTCATCAGCCAAGGTAACTAACAAACTTGAATATAAAATGTGTAGTCGCTGTAACACATATTAGTATCATTGCCATGACATTCGAAGTTGCACTGCGCTCTCTTATTTACAACACATGCATGGCTAGCCATTTTCACATCATGTGGCCTTATTCCAGTACTACGGGCAATCCCTGTCACACCAACTTAGTCGTGAGTCGCAACTCAGTAACCCGTAACAACCCGAACACCTAGATGAGCCTGTCGAACGCTCTGGAGAAGTCCTGCATCCACGTGAGCAGGTCTCTGGACTGGGGCCTCCTCTCCGGGTCCAGGTTCCAGCAGCTGAGCAAGGTGGAATACCTGGAACGGGATAAACTAGTCAGCCGGGATTCACGACATTTCATGACTTCTATGGGCAAATATGACCCTTGGGAGCATATTGCATGATCATCTTTTACGAGTTGCGTCATTTGGTGTACCATCATCGAAAGTAGCGAACCATGACCAATCTGACTGAATCAATAACTCTATAGTACGGTATCAGTAAGTCACCAGTGGTGATTAAAATTCAAACATCCAAGAACATCTTTGTTTTGTTGGGTTAGGCCCTTTCGGTCTGACGAGACCATTTCAGAGCCGGAAGGATGATAGGAATTAGGGGGAGACATTGGTCTGGGCAGGCACCCTAGTGAGTCACCGGGGCTGAGCCCGTCCAGAGGACAGGCCACCCAGCCCCAAGGTACTCACTGCACCCGGCTACGGGGTGCGCTCCCTCGGGAGCAGCGGTGCCGCTCCAAGGGAGCAGCCCGCATGAGATAAAGTTGCCTGTCCAGCCCGGAGGGAGGTTGCAGCGTGGAGGAGAAGGATTTCAGTATCCTGAGGATAGAAGCACGGAACGGTGGTTGAAGAACATCTCCCAATGCCTACAAGCCCAGTAAACATGCCGACGTCGGCCCGACGTCGGGCCGAGGCTCGGCCCGACGTCGGCCCAACGTCGGTTCAACCTCGGCCCGACATCGGCTGGACGTCGGATATGCCCGCATGTTCCGACGTCCAGCCGAAGTCCAGCCGACGTCGAGCCGACGTCGGGCCGAGATCGTTTGCCGAGGTTGACGAGATCGTTTGTCGTTGGACCGACGGGGCCGACGTCGGCATGTTTATTGGGACAACGCGCCAAAAATATGAACCGGCGGCGGGATTCAAGCCCCCCAGTCGCCCACGTCGGCATGTTTACTGGAACAACACGCCAAAAGCATCGGCAGGCGTTGGGATTCGCACCACCTGTCATTCGAACGCCAGGTTAGTGCGCTAACCACTACACCACGCAGCCAGCTAACGATTGTGGTTTGTTTTGTTGCCTTATGCCCTTTCGGTCTGACAAGACCATTTCAGAGCCGGAAGGATCATAGGATGGAGACATTGGTCTTCTTGGCGAGCACCCTGGGTCCAGTTCATATAGAGTCCCTGGTCCCATTGCTGTTACGTGACACTTATAGGAAAGGGCGACCCCACAATGGATTCATATAGCCACTTGTTTGTTTGTTTGTTTGTTTTGTTGGGTTAGGCCCTTTCGGTCGACAAGACCATTGCAGAGCCGGAAGGATGATAGGAATTAGGGGGAGACATTGGTCTGGGCAGGCACCCTAGTGAGTCGCCGGGGCTGAGCCCGTCCAGAGGACAGGCCACCCAGCCCCAAGGCACTCACTGCACCCGGCTACGGGGTGCGCTCCCTCAGGAGCAGCGGTGCCGCTCCAAGGGAGCAGCCCGCATGAGATAAAGTTGCCTATCCAGCCCGGAGGGGGGTTGCGGCGTGGAGGAGAAGGATTTCTGTATCCTGAGGATAGAAGCACGGAAAGGTGATATAGCCACTCTTAGTACACACCTGCACCAACGTTTCCCAAAGTGTCCCTTGGCACTTTGGCAAAGTGACACTTGCCGACTGGCCTTTCTATACAGTGGCGGATCCAGGATTTTCACTGGGGAGGGGCTGCAGGTCATAATTGGGCGCCACGCCCCGGATGGGCGCCATAGTCGCATCGTATTGGCGCTGAAATATTGGCGCCCAGTGGCCCTGACAAGAGGCGCCCAGGATCAGTATGTACAGTGACACCACACGATTGGAAATATCGGTGCGGCTAGCGTACTGAAACGACGTTATTCGACTGATTTTCAGAGCTGGGCGCGTTCCTCGATTTTCGGTAGTGCGTTAGCGTTCCTGCGTTCCTCCGGCCGCGGTTAGTGCGTTCCTGGAATAGCGTTCCTCAATATTTTTCGTTCGGTGCGTTAGCGTTCCTGCGTTCCTGCGTTCCTCCCTCAAAAATACCGCCGAACCACGCGGCGCGGGCCCAACCAAACACGGGGCGAATCGATCACAGAATACCCAGAATGGCGACGTGGGGCCGAAAAGCAACTCGACATCTCTTTTCCGAATCGAATATCTGAAATACGTTTTACCGATATCATCCGTAGGGTTTTCAACAAAAATACGACCTGCTTAAAAACAATAGTTAAGTTAAAAGATGTATCATAGTAAAAGTTATCATATTTACTTTACACATTTAATGCCTGAAACTGAATCGAATAGTAAACATCACCACTAAAAATCTTTACACATTTAATGCCTGAAACCGAATCGAATAGTAAACATCACCACTAAATCTAAGCAAGCCTTCCTCGATTCGACCGACAAGTGGCGCCTCCCGGCAAACACACGTACTCGAGATTCAAACATTTGACACAGAGTTCATTGGCAGCAATATAATTTTTCGGGTGGTTCCGCAAGAACGCAGGAACGCTTTAAAATTTCGGGTGGTGCGTTCCTCTTACTTGCGTTCCTTTGAAAAACTTTGCGTTCCTGCGTTCTTGCGTTCCTAAAAAGGGCGGTGCGTACGTACGGAAGAACGCAGGAACGCACTAAAGGAACGCACTTGCCCAGCTCTGCTGATTTTTGCATCCTAGTCCTAGTATGCGGCACTCCGATGAGTTGCGAATGGAAAATTGGCGCCACTGCGCCTTCGGCGCAGTGGCGCCAGTTTTCCTTGGGTGGGGGCTGCCAGCCCCCGCAGCCCCCCCCTGGATCCGCCACTGTTTCTATATGAACTGGGCCCGGCCCTGGTGAGTTGCCGGGGCTGAGCCTGACCAAAGGATAGGCCGAGCAGCCCCCAAGCACTCACCGCACCCGGCTACGGGCGAGCTCGGCTTACGGGCAATCCCAAATGGGAATGGGATAAAGTTTCCCGTCCAGTCCGGATCAGGGGGTTGCGGCGTGGAGGAAGATTTGAGTTTCCTGAGGATATTTTGAATACAGAAGTTCTTTATGAAACATGAAACATGTATTTTATATTATTTTAACGGTCAAAACAGCGGCCGATGTCGGTCCGACGTCGCACCGACGTCGGCCCGACGTGAGACGTCGGCTGGACCTCAGCAATTGATCTCGGTCCGACGTCGGCCCGACGTCGGCTGGACCTCGGCTGGACGTCGGAACATGCGGGCATATCCGACATCCAGCCGACGTCGTGCCGAGGTTGGACCGACGTCGGGCCGACGTCGGCATGCCGATGCCGAGTTGCCGACGTCACCCCGACGTCGGCCGACGTCGGGCCGACGTCGGCATGTTTACTGGGAGACGATGTCCCAGGTCGACGACTTACATTTGAGCGGGACAGGTAGTCGGCCGAGCCAGCCGGTAGCCCTCTCTGAGAAGCACCAGCACCTCCAGCGGGTCCTTGAGCTCGGAGAAGGGCAGCTGACCCAGCGAGGTCACCTCCCAGGCGGTGACGGCCGCCGACCAGACGTCGCTGGCCGGTGAGTGGCGCTCGCGCAGCAGCGACTCGGGCGCCGCCCAGCGGACGGGCCGGCAAGCTCCGTCTGCCAGCCGCGAGTACTCGGCAGGATAGAGGTCGCTGCTGAGCGCCGAGTCGGTCAGTCGGACACGAAACCGATCGTCGACTCTGTCGGACAAATGTGAGCCAGTCAGGCATCAACGTAGCCATTACTTGTTTCAAAACGACATACAAATATCAGGAATATGTCTGTTTGCTTATATCGTCGCCCTTTGTCAGGCAGACCACGCAGAATCTGTACCTACAACCCAAACTGTATGTTGTGCGGTGCTGCATAACTTCAGGCGTAGCATACTAACGCCATCTAGCGAGAGAAATGTTAGATCCCGAGCGGTTGGCTACTGCATCATTCTTTTAGCGACATTGTTGGATTTTCTTGTACATTTTTTTATTAAAATGAAATAAAAGATGCTTTAGCTTATAACCAATGGGTATCTGACATGCCAAAAACTAAAATGTTGATTGCACAGGGCGCACCGCTGACTGCACACTGCACAGTGATGATACTCACGCGCAGTTTCTGGCGGCCACGTCTCTGTGCACGATGCCGCGGCCGTGCAGGTGCACCAGGCCGGACAGCAGCTGCACCGTCATGTCCACCATGGTCTGCTGGCGGAGCACCGGGCCGGCGCCGGCGGCCCCCTCCAGCCGACACGTGGCCAGGAAGCGGCGCAGGCTGGCCGTGCCCAGGTCCGGGTAGAGCACGCACGGCGGCCCCGTGTCGGCCGTGCAGCCGAGCGCCGGCAGCAGCGCCGGGTGGCAGCAGCCGGCCAGCAGCCGTCCTTCGGCCACCAACTGCCGGCACTGCTGCGGGCTGGCCTGTGCCGTCACCGTCTTCACCAGACAGGGCCGGCGGCCGACGGTGGCACGATACAGACGAGCTATACCGCCCTCGGCCAGCAGGTCAGTGAGACCCAGCTCGCGCCGGTCCACGGCCGGGTACTCGGCAGGCGGCTGGTCGGTGGGCGCAGACGGCACCGGTATCTGAGGGAAACAGGACATAGAGTCACGTCGGGAGCGAACGACGACCATAGGACGTAATGTTGCTAGTGTTTTGATCGCTGACTATTCGTCAGAAACATAACTGTGAAAAATGCTTTGAGTAGCTGATTCTATCAAGGGCAAAATAATTTGACGAGACTCTATCGTTTTCTGTGCAAGACATGAGCGTCAGAAACAGGGACAAAGCTAAATAATCCGCTTCCTAACCTAACCAAACGCCACCACTTCTGGGAAAATCCTTCAACATCAACCAGTGGCAAAGTTTCCGTTCCATACCGCGCTCGACCGGAGATGATCAGAAACCGTTCAGCCATAAAAAGTCGAGTCGACTCTTTTCAGCAGTCGCGCACCGTATAGCGACTGCAGTCGTTTGTTGCAGTATCCTGCGAATGACTGTGGGGCGTGGTTGTGGCCGTTTCAGCTGCGGTGTCGACCGGCAGCTGAGTTTTACGACCTGCCATCAGCCTGATAAGTGGGCTGTCAACGCCACTGCTCGGTACAGCGCGCATTCGTCCCGACAGCTAAATCCAAAAAGCTGGACGATGTTGAAAGTCTTGCATGATGATTCTCACAGCCAATGACTGATAAACTAATGCATTATGAAGCGACATTTTCATAGAACATTTCAACTTCTATGGATCTTTTTAGTCCACCTCCGGTCGTTTTGAATGACGCGCAGTAAAAATGTCATTAAAACCTGATCGCCAATCGCCATTTGGTCGTATTCGGTCAATACCTGAAACCGCAGCGAACGTTAACGTCCATTCGCCGTCGGTCAATTATTGAAGATCGATGCTAGTTTGAAACCATAAGATTACATATCGATTTTAATACGGCAGGCACCCGGCGAAAACATCGATGGGGTGTATTTTCTGTCGCATTGACCATGAACTGGCATGTTACCATTCGTTGTTTCCATTGTTGATGGTTTCAACCCTAGCATAAAAATTGTGTTATAACTTTAGGCGATATTCTGGAATTGGTTGATTCTTATAGCGGCAGACTCCTGGCTGCTCATTGGCTCCAATTTGGATAGCACACATTACTCGTTCCGCTTCACGCTTTGCGCTAGCAAAACCGCAACTGCGCGCCTACTTACCTCTTCTCCCACTCCCTCTTCCTTTCCTATCTGTCTTTCCACCCATCTGTTCTGAGCAGCTCTGCCATAAGACGTGACTAATTAGTCCAATACACGGCTAGGGCGGGAGGCTCCGCCAGTCACGCACTAACGCCAACGCTACTGCGGATAATAACGCGACTTCGTGCCAGAGCCAGGTTAGCACAGCACACGGCTCTCCACTGGAGGACGGGAAGGAAGAGACCAGACCACAACCCGAGCGGATAGTTTCATTTACCTGCGTCGCCTCGTATCGACGCTCGTTCTGTCTCCGTCACACCGACCGGAGCTGGTCCCGTGGTTAGTGTAACGATCGTACCGCTCTGTTTGGGATAGCGTACCTATCGGCCTATCGGCTGTTCGGCGCTGCCCAGGGTGTGCTGGTCCGTAGTTCCGTAATGCTAAGCTGGTTGTAAAGATACTCAGCGGACTCACCTCAGACGAGGCGTAGTGTTGTGATGCCATGGCACAGTCGGCCAGTGACGTCACAGGCCTGCTGACGTCACTGCCGTCGTTCGGGAGTGACGTCACCGTCGGGTGAAGCCGCGGCAGCTTCTTCAGACTGGCGATGGTGGCGTAACTGCAGCTCCTGGCCATCTTATCGATAGAGTGATAGCTTTTTGAGAGGTTCTTGGCGAATGCCCTGCTGCCACTGTTTATAGAATCAGCGTGCACGGGGCTGCGAGCAGAGAAAATGATTCACAGGGAATAAAGGCAAGAGGGTAAAATCGACTCCAATTTTGTGGGAAGAAGATAGAATAAATTATTTAGAAAATTTCATTAGCAGTGAAGAATCTCACAATCCATCCACCCATCCATCAATCCATTTTTCAAGTTCTCATTTCACCTGAAGACAACAGCGTAGTCCACCTCCGTTAAATGCAGCCTAGGGTTGTGTTCAAGCGGAGTCCCCTATATGGTACACTGACCTGAGAGTGGCCTTGCGCTGTCGGATGACGAGTAACATCACGGCGCCGAGAGTGACGAACGTGACGGCGATGGCGCCGGCGACGCCCAGTATCAGACTGAAGTCGTGCTGACGAGCCGCGTCACCCAGCTCCAGTAGAGATGTGGTGTTGTCGGGAGGACCAAGACGAGTCGGCCGGCCTGTGGAGCGGGAGCGGGTGTGTGAGTTTTTAGGTTTTGCGGTGTGCGATATAATGAAATTGTGAATTATGGTGACAAAATACTGCTGGGCTATCGTGAGTTGGTATGTGGTTCCAACGGTAACAGGTGGTTAGAGGTCACAATAGACTATACAGCTTGTAAACCCTGGTTAACAAGTCAAATTTAAGGTGAAGGCAATTAGGCAGCTGGCTTGTAATCAAAGATTTAATTGGTTCTGCTCAAGCAACGTATCACATTAAGTCAACGGCTCACATCCATGATCACTAATAAGGTATAATCTTACAAGAAAAGGTCACGTTATTGAAGGTCGATCGTCCGCCCGCCGCTCGAACAGCTGCTAGCATTGACGAGCCGCTCAGGAAATCAAATATTGATTATTGACACAACCTTTGCAAACGCCGACGCTGCGCCAACAAATGTCACAAAGGCTGCCCGTCGCTGCAGCTCATTTACCCTAGCATCCGCTTGGTAACATGGTTTGCTTGGAAGACGCCTCTAAGGTGACTGTAAAGTTATGGGCCGAAAACAGAGCTCAGCCCTAATGCACGGGCGACCGGCACGCACTGCCCCAGATAATACGAGTGTCTCCAAACAGCCAGGTTTTCGTTTTCGTCAACTTTTTTCGAAACGTCTGTCTTGCGCATTGCGTATTGTATTTTGATGAAATCACGCATGGCGTAAACTACTTCACCTAACATTTTTTTTTTTGTGCAACTTTCTTAGGCACATAGGTAATATAGAACGGATGAAGAAATTGATGATCAATTAAATTAAATTGATGATCAACAAAATAACACTCAATGCAGCAGTTGCTCCCCATGTTTCTGAAATGCCACCAGGCGTCGAACCTACCTTGCAAGCAGGTCTTCCTGCGCTTCAGCTTGAGGAAGACTATCTGCTGCTTGGGCTGGTAGGTGGTGATGTTGAGCATGATGTCCACCTCAACAACGGCGCTGACCCGGCCAGTGCACGGAAACAGCACGCTGTCGAGAGGACTGAGGTCAGGTCGGGTCGGGTCGGGTCATGGGTCATGCTAATGAAAACGTAGCATCACCAGACCACACCACTTTTTACAGCAGCAGACAGACATAGTTCGGTCGCAAAAAGTGACCCAAAAAAGTCAGGTCATGGGGGTGTAGCTCAGTGGAAGAGCGCTCGCTTCGCATGTGAGATGCCCCGGGTTCAACCCCCGGCACCTCCAATGTTTGTATAGTTAGTCTATTATTTTCTGTACTGATCGAAACAGTTTCCTACGAATGTTATGATAAAATATCAACACCAAATGATTTGACATTTGGTCGTCAGGCTATTTTCTGTCTTTGTTGATGCAGCACCGAGTCTTCATTAAATTGAAATGGCAGTAAAGCTTACGACACTACGCCTCTCAATGTCAGCAACGTCATCACATGGTGGCTGAACAGGCTCTTACTTGGCATAAGGTCTTAGCACCATCCCAGCGAGCTTTGGAACAGAAGGGTTATTCACATTTTACCCTATCTTCGTTTCTGCGGTTCATTATTTTTCAAAGCAAACAGCATACAAGAGGTGAAGCCCGCACTTCATCATTCCCTTCTCGCATTCCCATATTTGCACACAGAACGATGTTATCCTTGTCTGTTTATAAACCATTACAATTCCATCCTTTCATATCGACTAATCTTGAACAACTGCCGTCTTCCAATATCAGGATGGCGCGTGGGCCGCGTCATTATCTACACGAAATATCGACATCCAATAGCCTTGCATCAGCTGACGTTGGGGTGGAGCGTGCCTCGCTGCACAGACCGGCTCGCAACCGACCACCGACGCACTCACTGCTAATTGACTTACCAAAGAAAGCCGGCGCCCATTGCCTCGCCACAGCGGCGGTGATCAATGACCCGGTACATACGCCATCAAAACGAGCTCGGTAAAGCGGGGGGAGGGGAGGAGAGGGGAGCGGAGCAGGCGAGGGCGGGGTATCATCGTCATTTCCTGAGCATGTGTCCATGGAGGGGAGCTCGGACACGGATACAGAGCCGCAGCGGAGACACAGGCGGGGAGACGGCGGGGACCAGTCGATAGGACGACAGCGGCGCTGAAACGGAGCTGCTGCGGGGGCGGCGGGCGCCCGCGTCTCCGGGCGCCGATCCGTCTTGGCCGTCCTGATACCGCCTGGCGGGTTCCGGACCGGAGTTGCCGACGGTTTTCCGGGCCGGCGCTCCGGAATAAGGAGGAGGAGACTCTCAAATCGACCGCTGGAGAGGGAAGAGGCCTCTACGACCCCGTCCGATGACTGTGACATGAGACAGCTTTCAAGAGCCACCCAGTAAAACGCATTAGATAGTGAAACAAATTGTCTATGACTGCCCGACATAACATCCATGGTGAAATGAACTCGGTGACGCAAACGTGATGGTGCGCCCAACGCAGACACTCGTTAAAATTATACTTCCGGAATTAGCTGCTATAAAATGATTAATGCTACGTCATCGATACTTTCTTTCAGCTTCTCATTTGCATATGAGTGATCTGAACATTATCGTGGTGACACGACCTAGAGCGCTTAAGTGACCTGTAAATTCTGGGTAGAATTGGAGTGGAAAACATTTTGCGTGCTACTGGTGCGTGACCAACGCCGATAAATGAAACACAGTCGGCGCGCCGTCCGCCATGTCTAACGGAGCGAAAAATGGCGTCGGATGGAGACATTACATTTCAATGTTGAAGTTGCGTTAATTTATATCAAATATGCATCGTAGGCACTTATTTATAACTGAATACACGTATAAATGCTTTGCAAGCCTATGAATACCCTTTGCAAATCTATGAATGAAAAATTCAGCCGGAAACGTTAGGCAATAACAAGACGTGACTCGTAAGAGGTAAAGAACATTATTTTAGAAAAAAATGACTAAGGCCATACAAAAAAAAAGAAAAGCTTATCATAACCGGCACCGCAATATTATCGACAGCGCCAGCATGGAAACCTGACAACGAAAATACAGAACCGTCCAAGAACAAAGCACAAAAGTGATAAAAAAGAAACAACATTGGAAAATACAGAACACAGAAAATACAGAACATATGCATGCATATGTATATGTGCAGCATTATATCAGTATAGCAGTGTAGTACAGTCACAGCAATTGCGCCTTTAAATTATAGCCATGCTGGCCACGCTTCCCACTGCATTAGCTAAATGGAAACTATGAAAACCAGTTGCTGTGGTAAATCTAAAGTCAGTACACCGTTTACTTTACCAGAACACGAGTTAAATGATTACCCGGAATGGCTAAATGGTCTCGCATGGGCATACTGAATATGACACGCCATTTATTCATGCACCATTGTAGATGAGTATGTATCACTGAAAAGCCTAAATTTCATGTCAGACGTCAATGATTGGAATATGAAGCGTCTTATTTGAGGAAAAAAACTAGACGGGGGGGGGAGTCACCACGTAGCTCAGATACTTTGAAAAAAACATTACGCAGTAGCATTACTGCATGCGCTGTCAGAATACCAAAGCTGGAGTATGCCTTTCAGCAATTCATATTTTACACCGCCTCCGTTCCCCGGTGATACCGCATGCACTGTGCCGCGGGACGTCACGTGCCCTCCTCACCTGAACACCGCCTCCACACGTGGCACGTAGCCCACGTACGACACGTTGGCACGTGGCTCAGACATGGCCGCCGGATCGTTCCACCGAAAACTGATTTCGTACGGCATCTGAAGGACAGAATAGAACGGTCTGTGCTTGAGAGAAATAATAAATCGAATACGAGTACGATATGTGGTGCGTGCTGGCTTCGTGGTGAAATTAGCAATAATTAATATAAGACAGGCCAATTTTATGACGTTGTGCTTAAAAAGACGTTATGATATATAAGTGGTAACAAGCGCTAAACCAGTTGTTCGTGCTCGACTCAGTTGGAATCAGAAACGAACATCATCATCACCAGGCACACGTAGACCCTAGGTACCAGTTTGCGGACGAGGCTCTGCCAATGGAAGCTGATGCTGCTGATTCTGGCTCCGACCGGCACCACGTAACCGGTGGCGTACTGGTTGATGACGCCCTCCTGGATGTAGTAGATCCTAGATCCCTGAACGCCTGCCGGAGAGGAGGGGTTACTCATTGAGGACAAAAAGTGGACCGTTTGAGGGTTAATCGTAATTTATCTTAGGATTAATGGTCACATTGTCAGAACTCATCCTAACAGTCCAATCATGGTCTTAAAAGAACTCGGACTTGTTGGTTGCGGACAACAAGCAATATCTATTTTTCGAAAGCGTTACAAATGCTTATTTTTCATGCGTTTCAATTAATCAAATATTACGAACAGTATCCAGCAAAGCTAATGAAAAAATGTTATCGTCAATCGTCATTTGGCAGCTACATCAGGGTGTGCTCGAATCAATAATATCGTTTGCTCTTATGCGCTACAATTATTTCCATGGCACGCTCACAACACAGCGATATTCGGCATAAACACGTGATAACAACCAATCATGCAGAATACGGCGCCACCAATGACGCCGGTATATGGGGCACACACCACTGGCGACCGGGTCAGTTACAGCTGTCCGTGACCCGCGAACCAGCACCTCCCGTAATTGCGGGCGGTGATGAACAGTAACGAGCGACCAGACGACGTTTGCAGCCGGGTCGATCGAACAATGGCGTCTCTATTGTCCGCAATATTGACCTCTGCGAGCAACGGCCGGACGCTTTCAGCGTTTGGTGGCCTTCTGAAGACACCTGAAGGACCGGGGTTAGTAGAGTTGATGTCCAGCTGCGACGAACGGTAGAGCCCTGACACTGACGGAGTGGTCCATAACTCAGCCAGGTGCGCCGGCCGGGCTGCAGTGACATGGACGGCTTGTGTTGCTATAAAAACATGGACGGTAGCCGCAGTGACATAGGCGTGGTTTTCAATGGCATGGAAACAAGATACAGTGACATGAGCTGGCAGCAGCTGCATTGACATGGGCAGCCAGCGTCGCTACAGTGACATGGACGGTAGCTGCAGTGACATGGACAGAAGCTGCAGTGGCATCGGCTGACGGTAGTCGCAGTGATACTGAGTGACACTGAGGTAAACAAAATTACATTTCGGTATAAACTCAAACAATCCAATACACAGCATCATCTAGGTAAAATAACAAAGTTTGTTACTATCAGCCCATTTTGTTTCCTTACCATTCCCGATCTACATAGCAATGCGAATTTATTGTTCGATTGGGCATTCTTTCCTCCGGCATTCGCCAATACTGCGCTGCTTTGTCAGAGCTGCATTCTCAGGCGTTCAGCGCTAATGGTATAAGCATGATTAATGGCATATTACCGCGGCTGAGGCTTTGTGTGTGTGGCTGCGGTGCTGTCGGCGAAGTATACAGGAAGTAGACGCTAGGATCCGTGTCTCCACCCGCCTGCTGGATTACCATTGACCGATCAGCCATTCAGTATACATAGACATTCAGGACTGCGTCTACTGAATGGACAATCCAAATAGTGGCAGTGGCAATCCAAATAACGCTATTGGCCCGCCTACCAGTGTCGCACAATAGGCCTAACGAGGCCATGCATCGTGATCTATGTAAATCATCAATGAATGTGAATGCTTTACTTAGCAGCGTCCCATGCTAGTTCTGTTGGGCTTAGGTACCCTTCTCGTGTTTATTTTGATTGGCACTCTAAAATTCAGTAAGCATCACATGCAAATGCGATATCTGCCATTCAACAATACATTTTCAGCTATTATATAAAAATAGCGTGATCAGCACGAGGTGCATCTGGGGTCATGCAGTTCTAGGAAGCCCGCCATGGCTAAAATTACCTGTGATGCGATGGACTTCGGCCCTATCGACGAACATATCCAGGCTGGCCTCTCCGAGAGCGAAGGAGCAGACTAGAAGAAAGGCCGGCAGAACCCCCTCGCGTCCCATGCTCGGAGACATCGCAGGGAGCTGGGTGGTGGGCGCAGGCGGTAGCGTGTAGCGATGGGCGGTATCTGAAACACAGAGGTGTTTATATATGTTAGACTCGCACCAGAAAATGTGTTCAATGTTCAGTGCCTCACAAAAATAATAACAGTAGTAGTAATCGGTCCTTAAATGTCAATATACATCTTGTCATCATTCTGCGGGAAACGAGAAACATTGAGGCAAAGGAGAAACATTCTGCGGTAAGCGAGAACATTTATTCGATCAATCATCAACGTAATAAAATTCATCATGGGATTGTTCTTCGCCTATGAATGTTACATTACAATAAAAGATAAAACGCCCAAAGACATGAACAATAAGGTATCCAAAGTATGGTGGAAGGGAATTATGCAATTTAAAGGGCATAAAATGGTTATACTAAATGTGCACGCCCACAAGGTGCACCGGCCACGTAACGCGTTTGCATTACAACACTTTAGTGTTGCCACGGCGCAATAATTAAAACAACGTGCTACTTAAGGGCCATAACTAACCCTTTGACGGCCGTAAGTCACAGCACAGGCCATAAACCATCTCACTATTTCGCTTGACCACGCTCTCGTGTTCGCAGAAAGTGATCTATAACACCACCAAACGATCCCCATAAAGTGTCAATGTTGTCAATAAATTGTCCCCGCCGTGCTAGACGGGCGCAGGGTTTGCGTGTTTTCATTCCGTTGGAATCAATCGTGCCGGCGTGTCTATGATTAGGCCCGCTGTAATAGCCCTGACGGCGCCTGTCCGGGCCCGGGGGGGGGAGGGTGGAGGTGGAGGCGGAGGGGAGGGGTCCGCGGCGGCCGGCTAGTTACGGCTCAACTCGCTCGGGGCATTACAGTCGTCTGTCACACCAGCTGAACGTGGCTGGAGCTTCGAGCAGGTCTGGAGACACTGCGGTACTAACTCAGCCGCTCGGCCAAAGACCCGACTCGGAGGAAGGACATTGCCCCCGGATGAGTCGTGGTGCGGACGACGCCGTCTTGTTACGACAGCTTTACTATCGCACACGCTAGGTTTGTTCTGAAAAGTATGATTCAGAGCCGTGTCGTAGTCAGATTGTATAATGTATATTGTATGGAAATAAGTTGGTGGCTGCATGTGCAAACTGCTACCTTCTTATTCGTCGGTTGTGTTTAGTCAGTAGCAATACATCATCCTTTGTGGACTTCGAAACAAGCGTCCGTTTGCTCACATTTGCATAATACTAATTAGGCGGTACTGTACCGAGCAGTTTCTGTATGGATCGTATTGATTTGCATGAAATGTATACCGATGAAGTATCTCACTGCAAGGCGTGGACACTGGACAGCCCACCCAACCCCGCTCCAGTCCACCGCACCGGGCCATAGGGCTACTCCTGAGGAGCTACCCACGTCGGGTGGAGGTGACCGTCCAATCCGGATAAAATAATTTGAGGTGTGGAGGAGAAAAGAAGGATTTGACACAGTGGTGGGCGGAGGCGGAAAACCTTCAATTAAGGGGGGAGGGGCACTGCCGACTTTTGGTCCCATTCTTTCCATGCAACACCCACAGGGCTAATGTTAAAATGGCAAAATCAAGGGGGGCACGGTGCCCCGGTGCCCTCCCCGTTCCGCCGCCTATGATTTGACAGCCCTGAGGAGGAAAGTGTCGGAATTGTTTATCGTGACGTCCCGCAATACGCGCCAGCTCCCGTATCTGGGAGGTAGGCTGTGCCGCATGCGCCAGTGTCGTGCGGGACAGTATACCTACGCAGTGGAGCCGGTTCCTTCGAAAGCCTCCTCGGCCGTGGTGTATAGGCTGTCCGAGATGTGTGTATCGCTCGCTCAGCAGGTCCACGCTCAGTTCCATGATAAAATTACGCTATCAGCGAGCCGCATAGCCTTTCGAAGCATCGATTTCACTCGGATTGGCCGTTAAATGGGGTTAATGGGCAATTTCAATGCCACTGGAGGCGTTAAAATGTAAATGACTTCGTCGCCACCGTAACGATCCACGCATTAGATAGTGTCATTTTGTTATCTAAAGTATCCCGAAAAAACACACTTTCCCTCCTCAGGCTCGTTGAAAAAAAAAACGCAAACCGTGCGGAATGCAACGCATCTTAGCATTTACATCGTGTGACTGTAACCACTCCTTTTATTCATCCATTAATGACGCGATATCATAGTTCATTTGGTATCTCATCTTTAAACCATAACATCTGCTCTTTATCCTAGCGTATGAGTTAAGCGCACCATCACAATTAAAGTTTGTCGGTAGTTATGTGATATGCAGCTAAAATGCACAGGATTAGCTTCTTGTACCGCCTTATCCTCAATGTATCGTGTCATTATTGGAAAAAATAAATCGTCAAGCATACGCGTATAACACATCTATTTTGAGTTTGGGATTTAGCTTTCAGATATAGGTATGACTGAGGGTAAGCGGTTCACTAGAAGAACTGAGTCCATCGTTGGATATTATGGCGGGTCTCTGGGTCTTTTACTAGCAAGGAATGTTGGGTTATTCATTCATTCCAAAATCATTAATCTCAGTCTCTGACAGGATGCAGAGTGGAGCCTAAGTCCGATAAAAAATGAATACCACGGGATGAGATTCTCGTGAAAAACAGGATTCTGAAGCTATGCAGCTAATGACTAATCGACGACCATTTTTAGAAAAAGATATGAAATGAACATAAATACGGGATAACTTTAATCAAAATGGTTAAATTCAGTTCGAGTTCATCCTTTATTTAGAATGTTGTTTTTATAGGAAGAAGTCTCATTAAAAGGCTTCGTTTTTACTGAATTGATTGTCATGCTTAACAAAAACATAAATGTTTTCGGCAATTTAACCCTCGCCCTGGCAGGGGGGGGGGTCGATGCGACCCCCCTAAGGTTTTTCGAAGATAGCGTAAAAACGACGGCGCGCAGCGCCGCCAAATTTGGCACAGCCTATGGGGCAACCTTTTTACATATGACCTGAAAATTTCAGGTCCGGGTGACCTTGGGTCAGGTCACCAGGTCAGAAAAACCGGTACAAGGTCATGGTCAAATGTCAATTTTCTTTTTGCACCTGTCCAACTCACAGTTTTGGACTGATTTCCTTCAAACTTTCAGGATGTGCTAAGTTCACCGAGTTGTATAATATATAGTTCGTTTTTTTTAGGTCACTGACCTGAGGTCAGTTAGAGGTGATTACGTCGTAATGTTAAGCCTATGGGAAAATACTAAATTCGGAAAATACTGGAGATATCCGCTTTGTTCTATCACTTTTGTGCTTTGAAACCACAGTACTTAACAGAAGGTCACTTGGTGCTTCTTTGTTTGGTGTACTTATCCATGGGTCAGGTCAAATGAGGTCAACTGAGGTCAAATAACGTTTTTGCCAATAACTTGGCACATAATGACGCTAGAGCTTAACAAATGGTATCATTGTGTTCCTGGTGATCAGCCGAATCGAATGATATGCGATATGATGCAATTTGGTTAACTTGAACTTAATTTATAAATTTAAGTTTACTTAAAATTTAAGAAAAACTTTAAGTACACTTAAGCAAGCTAAAAAGTAAATCATCCGACGCGCCGTGACGTGCTGAGTTCACTGGTGCTTTTCTTTTTGCTCTATCTTAATTAGATCAAAAGTTATAAGCGAAAAACTTTTGACCTTTTTTTAGGGAAATTTTTACATTTATACCCCCCAAAACCCCCCTAAATATTGACCTAGAGCAACCAAATTTACACAGGGGCGAGAACTCCAGGGGGCCCACCTACCTACCAAATTTGGTGTTTCATAGGTGCCATAGGAGCCAATCGCGAGGGGGGGGGGTCGCATCGACCCCCCTGCCAGGCCGTGTTATGAAAAATGCCCTGCCAGGGCGAGGGTTAAGAAAACAAAACATATTTTAATGGCTATGAGAACTTGTATCTAACGGAATTATATGGGAACCAAATAGAATACAAGACCCGAGACCACTGACTTCTCTAGCTTAAACGCCACTCAGCCAAAGTTAAGACACGTGGATAAACTTTGTGCTCAGGCATGTCAAAGGAAATTTCCTGGTCTTCTCAAGTACCGTAAAACTTCAGAGTTCAGTGGAAATGAAATTAGAAGGTTCCTTATGGTTTTCTCAGCCCAGCTCAGCTCGCTTCTGACGTTGAACAGTTCCCTTCCCTACTCTTGGGGAAACAGCAGAAGCGTGAGCTTGGGGAGATCACCCCTGCGCCGGCGCGACCCGCCCTAATAGATCGCCAGAGATCGCGGTTTGATGAACGACCGTCCATCGCAGCTTGGATCGAATCGAAATCGGATAGGTCTCGATGGACAGGGAGATAGCACGGCCCAGCCAAGACGTTCATCGCACTTAGAGAGATGGGCCAACACCAGGGGCGGATCCAGGAATTTTCGGGAGGGGGGGCGGCAAGTCGAAATAGGGGCGACCTGGCAATCCGGGGGCGCTCCATACAAAGGGGGCGCCAAACCGTCAAAATCGGGAGCTAAAAGCCCGCGCCGTGCTAGGGGGCGTTATCGCGCTCCCCCTCAGGTTTTTCGCAAATATCTGAAAAACGGCTGCGCGCAGCGCCGCCATTTTCAGCATACCTTATCATGCATCTTTTTTGCACATGTTGTAAAAATGTCTGACGCGGGTGATGGAATGTCAGGTCACCAGGTTATGCCAAGTGACCTAGCCTAAGAAAAAGTTCAAATGCTTACCATTGCTATAACGACTGAACGATTGCTTTGAACCTTTCAGCGATTAATGAAAGCAACACTATTCATGAAATGTATATCTCGGAATTTCGATATCTGTGACCTAAGGTCAGGTCAGTTGTGCGACGTCTCCATTAGGTAGGTAGGTATAATTAAGTCTTTGGGAGAAAACTGAAAGGCATCTCTTTTGGACGAGCGCCATTCTAGACAATATCAAGCATTGGGATGCGTATAAAATTAACACACTGAATAAGAACATTGCACCTAGTGTGACCACTCATTATGTCCCAGAGGTCATCCCA